TTGAAAGATGAGGAGAAGATGCTTTTGCAGTTGGAAGTGTTTTAAAAACATTAACAATAAAGTTTGCCTATGTCGGTTAATGGGCACAAACAAATTAACTTTTTTTAATTTGCTTATTCTGCTTGTTCATAACCAGTGTATATTGTTAAATCAAGAAAATAAGAAAATAAGCATGATTGTTGAGACAAATCAAAGAGAAAAAATTAAAAATTACAAAGGTGCATCTCCCATCTCTTGATTCGCTTGTTTACAAGTCCAGCGAGCTCTTAAGGCTCTAGTTTTGAAACCTGTGGAAAGAAATAAAGGAAAAAAGTTGATAGTCTTCCAAGTGAAGAAAGCCTTCCCTGGCGATATCTCATTGGATCTCAGTAAGAGCTTGACTCGAAATCTCTTGGTTGTAGTTGGAGATGAGATCTACTTGAGAATGACGAAGAGAAAAGAAAATCTTCAGTGGTTCCGGAGCTCCTAAAACTGCAAGTCTTGCAAGCGGAGCAGACCTAAGCAATGCTCTCTAACTCCATTGAATGAGGACACTTCCACTACTGCGTGCCAAGCTTGATTCATCACCTTCCAGAATGAATCATGACTTAAGGAAAGAAACCCTTAGCCGCATTTGCCAAGAAAAAGATAATCTGCTGCTTAGTTTTATTTATTTTGATTATTTTTACTTTTCTTACACACATGTTTATAATTTAATAAATTGCTATGCGTTGCATGTTCCAATGCTTAGTTTTCTTAATAGTAGTTTAAATATTACTTATTAATCCAATTGATCAAATAAAGTTTATGATTATAAGCATGTTTGTAATTTATAACACAAGATTAATCTTATTGCATAAGATGATAGAATAAAAAAGAATATACTAGAAAGGGTTTTAAAAGTTTATAAATTATAAATACAAGATTAATCTAACAACTGTTAAATGGTAGAATATCCTAAAATATCCAGATATATTCTAGGTATATTCATTACTATCTTCTACAGTTTTGCTTAAGCAAACCAAAATATAGGATTATAAACATTGCTTAAGCAAACAAAAAAAAAGGAATTTTGACAGGCCGCATACCGGGAGCAATGTCATTGCGGCTACAGAGAAACCATTCGACAAGGAGCTGGAGGATTCTTGGTGCTATAGATGGGATGGAGATTGGCAATGCTAGTTACCCTACGATTGAACAGCGACCCATGATCGAGCAAAACAAGTCGAAAGGGAAAGAACCAAAGGAAGAGAGCTCTTTCCTTCTTCTCCCTTCTTCTTTTACACTGAAAAAGAGACCAGGAAGAGTTTTTCTTCCTTACGATATCGAGGCAGTCCACTACGACTGCCAGCCATCGCAGCCGCGCATACGCACCATGGTGCCATGGAATTCCCGCGTACGAAACTAGACAATGGAGGCCATCTTTACCACCGGAGAGCGAACAAGGACGGACTCGTAAGAGCCAGGTTTGTCAGAGCTTGCAGTAGGCACGAAAATTTCCATCCAAACGGACTCCTACCTCAGTGCTGTGTCGTTCAGAATGAAAGTGATCATCGGCTTGCCACTGAAGCGCAGCAAAAAGCTTATAATATATACAAAACTTCATCATCAATTCAATACTGATGGTAGCCGTAGTCATTGTCACCATGGATGGAGTTCGGTTTGGTCCAGGTAACGTAGTGCAGGTAATGTACTGTAATGAGTAATTGTATGACTACTCCTGATGATGAGGATTGCCATTAGAAGCTGACAGAAAATCAAACATTTCATATCTCAATTTGGCGGGGACATAGAACCATTCGAACCGGTCAAGTCAACTGCGCGTAGGTATTCAAGGAGACTTTGGCCAGATGGATATCCTGCTGCATCCTCTACGTGAAGCTTTCGACTTGCCTGTGAAGAAAACTGAAATGCATCGACTCCAGAAAATGCAATCATGTCGTGCATTCGGTTCAAACAAAACGGCACCACCAGCTGAAGCTTGAAGTTCGTTAAGCGACATCTGCGTAAACCTATAAAGAATTTGAAAAACCAGCATTAGATTTACTGCAAAACTAATAGGCATACCCAATGAGGTCATGCCAACCATTTCCCTTGTAACTAAAGCAGTCACTGACCAAAGGCCGATCCTGGAAAATTCAGCTGTTTTGGTTTACCTTAGTTGTTGTAATGTTTGTGAAACAATAAGCAAGCAAAATATCAACTTATGTTATCTAGATCACATCTCTTCTAAGTTTATGGAGAGTGTTAAGTGTATGACTATAATGCCATATACTATGCTTTTCACTCCCGTTTTAATCGTTCCCCCATCAGGTAGAGCAAGAAACATACTTTAATTCAACGTGATCTACATCACATTTCTCTATTCGTAAAACTTTGATAAATAGCCCTATGGGGTTTTGCTAGGGCTTGAAGAAAATGGGCGACATGATGCCGCCTCCGCCTGCTGTGTTTCGTCCTCCGCCGCCTCCAATCGCTGCGATGCACCCGCCAGCTCCGCCGGATGTCGACGACAAAAAGAAGATCGTCGCTCCAGCTCGGCCCTACGACATTCCCGAGTGGAGCCACGCACCGGGTAAACCCTACTTTCTCGAGGTGCTCAAGGATGGATCAATTCTGGAGGAGCTTCCAGTGTGAGTTTCTCGTCATTGTTTGTGTCGAACTATTCTCATGGATGTTCTTACAGCTCGGAGAAGGGCGCTTACATGTTTGGGAGGCACGAGAACTGTGATTTTGCGCTGGATCACCCCAGCATTTCTCGGCACCATGCTGGTGAGTGAGTTTTCTGTGTTTCTTCTCATCTTCTACTTCATTTTTCTGGTATCAGTTCTTCAGTACAACAGCAATGGGGATGCGTTCATCTTCGATTTGAGCAGCACTCATGGCACTTTCGTCAACAAGCTAAAGGTTGGAATTCTTTTCCATTTCTTGAGATGTCGAGAGATACGAGTCTCTTTTGTTCAGGTAAAAGCTAAAGTTCACGTTCCTGTACACGTTGGAAGTATCTTTCGCTTCGGTCTGTAAGTTTCATGCTAGTTCTCAGTCTAGTATCGATTAACCGGTGCCTATCCTTTTGTAGCTCTACTCGAATGTACCTCTTTCAAGGCCCAGAAGAACTTATGCCTCAGGTATGTTTTGAGCTGTGGCGAGAAAAATCGAACTGAGTGACTTGCTGCTAGGAAGGGTTGTCACGGAAAGACCGGCAGATAATGAGGCAGCTTGAAGCTCAGCAGTCGAAAGAGGAGGAAGAGGCCTCTCTTTTAAGAGCACGAGCTGATGCTGCAGCCGAGCAAGGGGCATCGTGGGGAATGGGAGAAGACGCTGTTGATGAAGAAGCTGTGGTAAGTACTTCAGCGTTGTCATGTGATCGTTTATCTGGTATTTTGTTTTTATACTTGGCAGGAAGACGATTTGACATGGCAATCGTACAAGGGCCAGTTGACGGAAAAGCAGCAGAAAACCATGGAACAAATCCAAAAGCGCAACGATAAGGTCTGTTTCCTTGTTCATCAAGACGATCCAAATGACCACTTCTTCGGCAATCCAGCTTACGAACCTGAAAAAGGAAATTGATGCAATCCAAGCTAAAGAAGCTGCACAGGGAGGCCTCACTCAAGGACAGCAAACACAAGTAACCCGAAATGAAAAGAGGATTGAAGAGGTATTTATTTTCTACGTATTCTGTGTAATGATCGTTTTCTATTTTGGTCAGCTCCTGGAGCAGCTTGAAAATCTTGAGGAAACTCTAAACGACAGCATAAAGGAGAGTGTCTTCGGAATAACAGGCGCCAAACGGAAAACTAAAAACTTTGAGGGGGAGGAAGAAGATGATTTAAGGTAAGCCTTGGTCAGTGTTCTCCTCGTTACTTATTCGTCCGTCTTCTGCCAGCGACGACGACTTTTATGACCGGACGAAAAAGAAACATAAGAAGGACACGGAGGCTCAGAGCGCAGCCTCTCTTCTGGAAAAGCTTGATCAGCTAGCGAAAGAGATGGAGGAAGTGCGCTTAAAACTCATTGGAGAAGGAAAGAAACCTATGCCTTCCGGTCATGAGGAAGGTTCTGACGACCCCTTGGACGCTTATATGAGTAACGTTTCTACTGAATTAGGTGAGTTTTCAGTCTTATGCTGAAGTCTTCGATTCTTAACTAGGGCCTTCTTTGCGCAGTTGAAGATGGTGCCACACGGTTGAGAAAGGAGCTGGACAGGCTTCAGGCTGAAACAGATAAAGTGTCTACGCTCTTGAAAGTTGCAGATCCCACCGGGGAGATCACCAAAAAATGGAAAACCAAAGGTGACGAAAGCTCCCAGCCTTCTGAAGTGCCACCTGAAAAGAGCGGCACTACTTTGGGCGCTAACAAACCCGACCAAGAAGCTGGCGTAATCTCCGACAGCGTTATTTGGATCGGCGCTCCCCGGCCTCAGGAGCCAGCCGAAGAGCCCGCATCTGAACGCGCGGAAGCTGCCGAAGAGGACGCTGCTGCGGAGGACAAGTTTGTGCCTTACAAAGAGTGGAAGGAGAGTTTGCAACGGCATAATCCAACATCATTGCTGTCAGGCGGGCGTGAAGATGCTGAGAAAGTCTCGGAGGACGCTGTGGCCAACGACATCGCGCTGCTGCTAAGACACAAGAAGGGATTGACGAGCAGCCCCGAAGCGACCGAGCGCGAGGAGGAAACAGCTGCGGAAGCTCCTCCAACAAAGACGAAGAGTAAAAAGAAGAAAGCCAAGGAGAAGCGGACGCTGGGTCCTGAGCGTCCAAAGTTCATGGCCGATGAAGAGACGGAATTTGAGTCGTGGGTCCCTCCTGTCGGTAAGTTCTGGCTTTGTTTGTATGATTTCTCTCAAGACTTGTTCGTTTCTCTTGTTTTCTATCCAGGACAAACGGGCGATGGTAGAACATTGCTGAACGAGAAATATGGCTACTAGCTAGGTGAACTTGCTGAGAATTCTCTGTACAGTGATACTGACAAGCTTTTTTAAATGCTTTCCTGAGGAAGAAACTTGAGTTCTTTCTAGGGTTCTACCAGTGCTCATGGTCAGTGCAATGGGTTCCTTCATCGTTGGTGGTGGTGGCCTGATGTTTGGAGGGAGGCACTATCACCATAGAATGCCGGCAGTGGGTTCGCCAGCTTTTCCGTCAGCAACAGCTATTGGTGTGAAGAGCAAGGGGTTGAAGATTGGAAGTTTTGGGATTTGTCGAGCTGTTCGTGATCCAGAAGAAGCTCCAGAGCTAAGAAACTCCAAAAAGAACGAAGCTGTGGACGAGAACAAGGATCCTGGGATTGACAGGCGCGAGCTGTTTCTCTCGATTCTCGACGATGTCAAGATCATTGGAGTGGTTCTCGCCGCTTCGATATTTTTCCGGTGGTACGTTGCAGACCCGAGCATCATTCCGTCCGAGTCTATGTCTCCAACGCTGCAGCCTGGAGATATTGTGCTCGTTGAAAAGGTAAAGCTTTCTCTTTTTATAGTTCTTTCTTATTCATGCGCATGGCTCTCTTTTTCCCAGTTTTCATATCGATTCAACTCTCCTGACATCAATGATATTGTCACGTTTGATGGTCCTGCGTCACTGATGGTGAGCGAATGGATTTCTTTCCTGGCTTGAGAACTGAAATTAACTTCTTATATCGTCAGCAAGGTGCTGGAGATTTATTCATCAAGCGAATCGTTGCCAAAGCGGGCGACACTGTTGAAGTAAGCTATGCAAAGTTCAATGGCTCCGTTTCTAAAACGTCTGCAGGTGTCCGACGGAAAACTCATTGTCAATGGAATTACGAAAGAAGAACCTTTCGTCTCGGAAGCCGCAATTTATGACATGCCTTCGGTGGTACGCATCTCGGATTTTTTCTCTCTTTTTTTTGTCTGAGAATTTCGCATTTCCTTGTAGCTTGTACCTGATGGTCACGTCTTCGTTATGGGAGACAACAGGAACAACAGCTATGATTCGCACATATGGTAAAAGCTATGATTCGTCATTAGCTATCGGTTTTGCTGATCATCGTTCCCTGTTCTTTCTAGGGGCCCTCTTCCTGTGTCGAGCATCCGGGGCCGCTCCGTCTTGAGGTACTGGCCTTTAACAAGGCTCGGCAGCACACTTGGTTGGATTCGTCAATCAATGTGAGGAGTTTTGACTTCCACTTTCTAAAGGTTGGTGGTGGTGGTAGCTAGGTAGTTGCTTTCGTCCATCCCCGCGTGGGCTTTTCTAAGAGAGAAAACTTTGCAAGAGATTTTGACGATTCACTATCCTTTTCTCTTCTGTTCTTCCAGACTGAACGTCTTGGTCGATGCCATATGCGTGACAACCGAAAAGCACCGAAAAGCCGAGCTAGTGGAAGACGAAGTGGACATCGAAGAATAGCTACAGGAACACGAGTTTATTGCCAAGCGAAAACGAAACTGACCGAAGCAACAGCAACTAACAAGCGAGACGACGATGAATCAGTCCAGCAATGGCAAGAACACCAAAGAACGACGAGAAACTCAGCGACGACAAAGCAGCGGAGGAGCCAGACGGCGAAGAGCCACCGGGGGAGGACGAAGAGCCGCCGGGTGATGTCGAGGAGCCACTCCTGATCTCGTCCGAGTGCTGGAAAGTTACGTTGAAGTGGAGGACTGCCGAGAAGTTGACGCTGGAGGTAGTGGTGATAACAGCGAAGCCTTGAGCAAACCTGTAGATGCCGGTGCCTCCGACGATGGCGATCTCTCGAGTTGGGTCCGTTATCTTGTCCGATCCATGGAAGCTCAGAGTACCATTCCGGTCAGAGAAGACGGCGGTGAAAGTGAGAAGAATGGTGGAGGCGTCGAGGGAGGTGACCAAGTAAGTTCCTTGAGCTCGGCCCAAGGATGTGGAAGTCGGGGAGGGGCCGAGAGTGAGGGCGTCGTCGATGATAATGACGGTGCCAAAGGCGAAGGTTGTGGTGCTGCCGTTTGCTCCGGCTACCGGGATTCCAGAGGGGTTGGAGACGAAGATGTTATCGTGCATATAGAACTCGAAGCTCGTCTGCTGCTCGCTCTGGCACCTGGAGCTGGGAATTATCCAGGCGAGAGCTGCCAGCGCTAGCGCGAGGAAGTGGTACTTCATCGGAGATCCGGAGAGGAGCAATAAGTGTTGGAGCAGCAGAGAACTTACAGAGCGAATCGGAAGGGACCAAGTTATCTCTACCAGAGACGAAAGATCTCGAGCAATGTTCTCGGAAGAAATTCTAGAGAGGAAAGATCTGTGAGAACTTTGAAGACAATCTATCTGCACTTGAATTGCTCTTTTCTTACGTTCTTATTAGGTGGACTCCACAAGACATTAGGTAGTGCGTTCTTGCGAGAAGTCTAGGCGCAAGAGGTGCCCGGTTCGAGTCCCTTGAGAAAGAGGTATTTTCTTGTTGACGAGAATATCCACCTTTCCCACTTCACTTTAATCGCCAGGGCGTGGATGATAGATAGCTAGGGTTCTTCGCGCGGTGATGAAATTCGGTAAGCGATTGCAGCAGCAGATCGAGGAGACGCTGCCGGAATGGCAGGACAAATTCCTCTCGTACAAGCAGCTCAAGAAGCGCCTCAAGCTCATCGCGGCCGAGTGCTTCACCGATCACCCGTTTGGCGGCCACCAGGAGCAGCAGCAGCGGCGGCGGCCAGCGAATTCCAGCAACGAGAGCAGCGGCAGCGTCACTGGGCCGGCTGCCAGTAATGCGGATCGTCAATTCCAGGAGAATGAAGAGGGGCGGGGGCTCACGAGCCAGGAGGTGGAATTCATCCGGCTGCTCAACCTGGAGCTCGAGAAATTCAACGCGTTCTTCATCGATAAGGAGGAGGAATACGTTATTCGCTTGCAGGTATTTCTTTTCTTTTGCTCGATTGATCGATCGACAAAGACTCTAGTGGAGGATAAGTGCTGATGTCGTGCTTCCTTTTTTTCTTTCCTTCTTGTTTAATGCTTTTCCAGGAACTCAAGGAGAGGATCGAACGGGCGCGAGTGGAAAACGCCGAAAGCTCTTTGTCTGGTGGTCCCTATTTTGACGAGGAGATGCTTAATATCTGGAAGGACTTAGTCACCTTTCACGGGGAGATGGTGCTTCTCGAGAACTATAGCTCGCTCAATTACACAGGTACACGCAAGCTTGAAATCTTTGCTCTTGGCTTCTTCTATGATCTAAGCAACCGCTTTTCTTCTTTTCTCTTCCATTCCATTTGGAACAGGCCTGGTGAAAATCCTAAAGAAGCACGACAAGACAACAGGAGCTCTCTTGAGGCTTCCATTCATTCGCAAGGTCCTGCACCAGCCGTTTTACAAGACGGAGCTCCTCTCCAAGCTCGTCCGGGAGTGCGAGAGCAATCTCCAGTCCATCTTCCCGGCTGCGATGCTGGGCGAGACGGTGATCGATGCGCCAGTTTCCATGGATCCGGCTAAAGTGAGAGACTCGTCACAAGCTGGAGTATCATCGTCGGTGGCAGCAGTGGGATCATCTTCATCAGCAGCAGCGAAGGAGGAAGAAGTGGAAGAACAAAAAAAAGATCTCGAGCGCGAGGGAGGAGGCGATGGAGAGAGAGCAGAGTGCTCGTCCCCAAAGCAGGAGGATGGGAATATGGAAGGGATTTACAGGAGCACAGTGGCAGCGCTCCACACTATCCAGGAGCTTCGCAAAGGCAGCTCCACTTACAGCCCACTCTCGCTGCCGCTCTTCAATCGCGAGGAGAATCTGGGCGTCGTGGTGGACGAGTCCACTGTGTCGTGCTAGCGGCGAGCTCTTGATCGAATACAAACTCGCTGGCGCTTGTACCCTGGTTTTCATATTTTCTGGCGCGTCAAATCTGGACCGTTGGTGTGTTTAGGGTTCTTGGAGAGTTGAAGCTCGAGACCTTTACAAGCAAGCCTATGGTCGAATCAAAGTTAACCTTTTTTAAAACGATGTTACCCCTCCAACAGGATGGTGTTTAACAGGAGGCTTGTGATTCTCGCCGAATCATGGAGAACATGGGATATTGAGCCTAGTTGATATGCTCAAGTTAGTTAAATATCTCTTCTTTTTTCTTCCCATTGTTACCAGGCTTCTGGAAGACGAGGCCGAGCGCTTGTGTCAAATCGAGAACCCACTTACAGGTATGAAGATTCAACTTCCATTTCAGTCCGTCCTTCGTGTTCTTTGTTTCTTTCATTCCCCAGGTAGAGGAGAGCATTTACACAGGCCATGAAGCAACTGGAGACGACCAACACAACGAGTGAGGCGCTCGACGTGGCGGACGAGGTACCTAGCAGTGAAATCGTTCCTCTTTCCTGATACCTTTGCGTTTTCTCCTGTGAATTCCCGAGTAGGATGACCATGAACTTTGCGGAGGAGCTTGATCGCGAGCTCGCCGAGGCTCTCAAAGGCCACACTCCAGGCAGATGATCTCTTGAGAAAGGACGACACTGGCACTGCAGCACCCGAGGAAGCGTCCCAAGACAGTGAGTAGAAGATAAAGTTTGCGAAGCATGGCCGATGAATAATGGCCTTTAATTATTGCTTATAGATTTAATTTGTCATGGAGTTTGTATTAACTTACGAAAATGACGATTGGGGGGTGTTTAGCAAGGATGCCTTTGTCATCCCCAACTTCACTGATATCCTGAACAATAACAGCGTGGTTATAGTAAGGGTGTCGCTGGAAAGGCCACAGTCACAACAGCCACCTGCCTGGGGCACATTCTATCCCATAAGACATCCCAATCTCTGTAAGCAAGCATGAGTGCCATCTTCACCAATTATGACATTCATGGCCGATATTACTTGTTGAGCAACGGGAGTTGTCTTACTTTACCCAGTGTATCCCGTGGAAGAACCAAAGACTTTGTATACGTAACCAAGATCAACCTCGCAGACTCCCAATCTTTCCAATGTGTGTGCCTCATCAAGGTACACTCCAACAGTTTTAGAAGACATCCAGAGAGAAAAATACCTTGTAGGCTTTGCAGACTTGCACTATCTCTTTTAATCTGCAAATTTCACCCTCTATGCTGTAAATATCTTCGATGACAACAATTATCTTTTTCCAAGGCCGAGTCCGAGGTTGCCCTTGAGCAATACAGCTTACAGTTGTCCTGGAAAACTTTCACTTTGGAACCAGAACTATGTGCTTCAAATATAATAGACGTGTGGTTCAAAGAATTGCTGATAATTAGTCCTCCCTACCAGCTTGCGACATAAATTCCTCCCTTGCCAATATAAGGCTTGGTAGTTTGGTTGAGTGGATCGTGAAATCCATTCCATAAACCATTGCATCTGATTTGCCAATGAATCGAGCAACCAAGGCCTTCAGCTCTACATGGAGTGGATGTAGTTCTTGCAAAACAAATATAGCATTAAAATAGCATTAAAATTTTAAATTGAGTTAAAATCGTCTGCAAAGATCCATATGTTAAGTGCAGAACTAGATTTTCAATAGAAGAAGGTCACAAGAAGAAGGGAGATAAGTACTCAGCAGTATTTATGGGTTGGTGGTAGATGGTAGAAAATGAATATTTGTCCACTCCTTCCACACCCTTCAGCAACTCTGATAAAAACATAGTGTATCAGTAATAGTAGGAAAACAAAAAAGGGGAAACCAAAACCACTAGCAAAAATAATCAAAGTAAAATTTGGGTAAGATCCAACGATCTTAAAGGGACTACAACAAAGACAAGAATAAATCTCACTCTGAAACATTCTTGTTTGAGGCTTGCTTTTGGAGAGAACAACATGGAGTTCAGAGATGATAGACTTTCTTAGTTTGCCATTATAGATCCCTTGGAATGATATGTTTTTGCAGTCTTTAGCTCTCGTCAATGGCTGCACCCGCATCATTTCCACACAGCAGACTCCACATCTCTTGGACCTCTAGTATTCAGCCAAAGCTTGGAAACGGGAATGTCAAGGACAAAAACCCAAGCACTAGAGCCTGGACATGGCATCAGCAAAACGCAAGAGAGACAAACCCTGGTCAGAGATCTTGCTGCAATGCAGGTTTGCAGTGATTTTTTGGCAAGCTCAATGACTCAAAAAACAAAGAGATATTGAATTATGGCTTTACTGAAACAAAAGTTGATTGTAAAGTTTACCAAAAAAATGCCACTTGCACAAAAAATAAAAAATGAGAAATAGTAAGCAATACTAGAATGCTTACCTTACTTCTTCCGTGCAAGAAGGAGGTCACAATAGAAGATGGTGGTTTAGCCACTAGCTAGGTGTAGCTTTTGGAGACTCGCTAGAATCTCTCTCTGCACAGCTCTTATGCAGGAGAGGTTCTTTTCTAGTTCAACCACTCGTTTATGAAGATCCATATTTTTTGCTTGCAGATTCATATTTTTTTACTTTAAGGAGGTCAACTTTTACTTGAAGGACATTGACTTGCTCTTGTAGCCTTTTATTGTTAGCGTTCAACTGGATATTTAGCTTTAACTCCCTTGGAAGATAGATTGGTCAATGCTCTTAATCTAAGTATGAGTGGCACTACCTACTTAGATACTTAAGTTGTAATCAACCTATAAAATAAAAACCATGAGAAAAATTGTTTAGAAAAAACATAAAAGAGAAGAAATACTTTTCCAGGTTCTCTTTCTGGTCTGTTAGTTCCACCACAATATACTCCATTTCTACAGCATGTTGAGCTGCTTCATCATGGAAGCAATCTTTCCTCAAGAAAATCCCCCTGAACATAACAAAGATTTCTGAGAAAAATTTCTAAAACAATAAAGAATCCTTACTTATTTTCTTTATCCTCAGGGAGGATGTGAAGATACTCATCCCCGGGATAAACATTAAACACTCTCCCTCCAACTAGCTTGATGTCTTGTCCGTTTGGTAGCATCTCCTCAAGGGAGCGCTCCACTGCATGGCATGTGCTCTAGTAAACTCCGACCGTCACCATTGCCTAAGTGCAAACCAAGAACCCTAAATATCAAAAAATGAAATACCTACCAAGAGATTAGCTGCCAGGATAGAGATAAAGAGCTCCTTAACTACATGATGTTCTGGAGGTGGTGTTTTGCTTCTAAAGACTTGGGTGTTTCCCAATTGCCATTTCTCATCACTTGCCCAAGCCTATAGAGTTCGAGCAAGGAGAGCTAAACCAAGTAGTGTCATTGCAAGGAGCCTTCTTCCCCACCAGACCTTGATGAGGAAGCTTGGGGCAAGTATAAATCATCTCCACGACCAGCTCCTCCTCCACCCATTTCAGTTTCTACTCTTGGTAGATCAGGAGGTGGACCACCACCACCACCACCACTGCCGATTCCTCCTCTGTCAAGAAGGCATTTTACATGCATGAGGTATCCTTCTTTCTTGCCCATCATGGGCAATGATGTGGATGCACATCTCAATTCCTTTGAGACTGTTGGCATTGCCAACCAAGAAGCCAATGAAACCAATTGCCTTCATTCCCTGCTACACTCCAAGATGCTGCTCTTCTCCGAGCACAGCATTCTGCCCCCGCCAGTATCGCAACCTAGGATCTGCTTCACTCAGCCTTCTTGCTGCTTTCCAACCTGTGGGATTCACACAAGAAGTTAGTGAGGAACTACATTCGATTGCTACCAAACGAAAGCTTACAAAGTCTCATCATCTGGTTTTAGTGACTAGTCACTAAAAAGCACCCTCCTCCTAGCGAGAAGGATCAGGTTCACTTCTTTGCAAATGGCCTGCCTCCCAAATTGGCTTTCTTAAAGAAGAGCCAGACTCCCATAACACTCACTGAGGCTATTTCCACAGCTTCCGGTTGGGAGCAAGCTGGCCTGAGCATGGCTTGCTTCCAGCAGCCTTTCTACTCCATTCGTTTGTGCTTGGCAGTCCTCCAGTGATCCCACCAACCTTTCCATTCCTGCAAACATCAGCAGCGTCACAAGCATATCCTTCGCTCACTGATCTAGTGAGCTTACTTGGGCATTTGCTGGGAGAATGTCTATATCCCTTGCAATGAATACACCAGATGTTCTTGCGGTCAGTAGCAGGTTGAGGTGATGTCTGGACTCCTTGAATCCAGTTAAACTAAACTTTGGACATTTTCTTGGCAAGTATTTCTAAGTCATCACATACTTTAGAGATTTCTTGCAATTGTGGCAGAGTTGAAGAGGAAGTCACTACAGCAGAAAGTACATGCTGCTGAAGGTGGTTATAATCGACAGTTCCAGGTACCAGCCATATCCTTCACTCACTAATCCTAGAACCATCTCCAGTAGCATGTACTTCCTGCCGTCTTCAAATCTGCCATAGTTGCAAGAAATCTCCAAAGTATATGACAACTTGGAAATACTTGCTAAGAAAATGTCGAAACTTTAGCTTAACTGGATTTGAGGAGTTTAAACACTACCTCAACCTATTACTGACCGTGAGAACATCTGGTGTACTTGTTGTAAGGGATATGGATATTATCCTAGCGAATGCCCAAGTCTTGCACCAGCTTGAGTTAAGTGCCAGCACTGCAGACAAAACAATCACATATCAAAGCACTGCATATATAAACCTAATACCCCATCTCAGCCAGCTTCTTGCATGCCTACACATCCCAGCTACCATGTCTAGTCCCAGCTCCTTCAAGATCCATTGCCACCACTGGTTCTACAAGGTTATTCACCAGATCTAGTACCCATTTATGCAAATGTCCAATCATCTGCTTTCGTTGCTGATAGCCTGGCCACATTGCTCCCAAGTGTCCGAATGCAAAAGCACCAGTCAAGTACCAGCCCATCTGCAGCATCTGTAACATGTAAGGCCTCCATGCGCAAAACAACTCATTGCAATCCAGGCAACCAAAGTGATCCTCCATGGCATTCCCTTGCTGTCCAATGATCGAGTGCTTGGGGACAATTATGTAAATCCCCTAGAATATTCTTCACAGCTGCCACGTGGTGGATGGTCAAAGTCAAGAGTCATGATGCAATCACAACCTTAGCATGTTTGCAAATCATGAGAGACTGTAAAATGGATTAACAATAGGAATAAAGAGCATATAATGTTCTAGAGGGAGTGAGATTTAGTGTTTCACTTCTGTTTCTCAGTTGTCTACCATATCATAAAAGACAATGGCTACTAGACAGCTGTTCCAACCTGCGATGTCATCTAGCATTCCTGCTGGCAGTTCCAGGATTACACGATAGCCCGATCCCGAGATTTTTTTTAGTATCCATGAGTTAGTAGCTGTTCTTCACTCCAAGGAGAGAATGCATGCCGGACCAGCTCGTCTTAAGCCACCGTTGAAATGGCTTTGGCATTGCAGAAATTGCGACCTTCCCAGAACCTCAATCGAAACGTAGGAATTCTGCCACGAATCCCCTGAGAGCCCATCGCCGCTCGAATCCTTGTTGTCGAGACGAACTTCCTATAGAATCCAGCCAGCTTTTGGTGCTGCAAGTACGTTGTAGCGATCACTACGCACGCCTGACCTGGACAGAGGTTGAGAAAATTCTCCTCGGATCACGCTAATCAAGGCTGGGACACAGCGCCATCAACGCTGGATGGCCGCAAAGAATTCTCGTGCGAGGGTTGATCAAGCTGTGACTGCATTTCCGGCCCCGCAGCTCCGATGCTGCCCTCGCCGGGGACGACTCCAATCCATTTGTGGCCAACCAAGTGTGGCGCCCTTTTACCGTCTTCGACAAGATGCCCCAGCGCGGCATCGACGTTGCACGGACGGTGGCCATGGCGACATGGTCCTGGAGCTCAAATGCAGGCTGATGGCTGCCACCCCAATGCTCAAACTTTCATCGCCGCGCTCAAGGCTTGCTCCAGCGTCGCTGCGAAGGAGGAGGCCTAGCACGAGCTCGCTCCACAAAGGTATGGCTCTTCACTCGAAAGCTTCCAAGCGTGGGTTTGACACTGATGGTTTCGTGGCTAGCATGTATATCGAGTGTGGGAGCTTGGAGGAATTGCGAGGGGATCAAACACTGGGACAAGGTCTTCTGGACGTTGCTCACGACCGGATATGTTGAGAACAAGCAGATGGAGATGGCCTTGGATTTGCTTGCTCAGATGGAAGCTCGAAGTCCATGCTGTGAATTTCGTGATTGCGTTAAACACTTGCGGCAGCTTGGCAGCCAGGAGAGAACTCTAGCCGGAGATGGGAGCTCTGGAAAGAGGCAGGGACGTCCATGCCCGCATTCGACTGCGTCCGGGTGAGGAACAGTTTGGGAAGCATGTTCATCGACAGCCTACCGCCTACACGGAGCAGGTTCTTTGATGGGATGCCGTGCCCTCTTGGACTTCTATGATGCTCGGCTATACAGATAGTGGACAGGAGAGCTAGCTTTGGCAAACCAGACGAGAAACTTCCAGTTGCCCTTGACGAGCGTGGCCGTGAGAGAGCAAGCCCGAGAAAGCTCGCGAAGGTCGCTTCTTTGGAGAAAGCAAGACTGATCCATTCAGCCTATGCTACGACTCGGACTTGTTCGTGGCCAGCCGCCTGGTAGACGTTTACGCCAAGTGTGGGAGCTTGGAAGAAGTTTTTGACGGTGCTCCTGGGGGAGACGTTGTGCACTCACTCATCCTTGGCTACACCGAGAGAGGCTAGGAAGAAACCAGATTGAATATCTTAGGATGCAATGCTGATACGCCCAGTTTTCTTGCTGCTCTCGCCACATGTGCCGGTCTCACAATAAAAAGATCGTTGGGAAGCTAGTCAAGCTGCAAAGTCTTGAAAACACCATACTGGTCCACTCTCAAGCACTAGAAGCCTGGCTTGACAATGCAACCTTCTTAGCAAACACGCTGATGGACGTCTATGTAAAGTGTGGAAGTGTTATGGATGATTCTTGGCTGGATTTCGACACCATGCCTTACCACAACGTCGTCTCTTGGACAGCCCTTCTCCTCGGCTATGCTGAAAACCGGGATTTTCCTCTCACTCTGGAGCTCTTCTTGGGAGAGTGGGAGCCTGGAGCACAGACCTTCATCGCTCTCAAGTCGTGTGGAATCCTGGCAGCTCCAATGCATGGCATATATGCCCGGAATGGAGAGCGACGATATCCCTGCGAACTCAGATCTTCGTGCCCTTGGCAAGCAAGGATGTGGTGGCTTGGAACACGATAATTGCCACAGGGCCACACCGATGACATCTGTGCAAGCACGCTAGACAAGGGCTGCAAACCCGACTGCCATCACCTTCGTTTGCCTTCTCATGGCTTGCAGCCATGGAGGACTCCGTGGCCAGAGAGCTCGTGTAGAAAGTGGGGAAACAGTGCCATGGGAGGCACTGGTGAAGACGGGTGATGGTGGGGATGCCTCGTCTACTAGTTGATGGTTCACATTTTCGAAAGATACAAGCTGTCAATGCACTACATACATGACAGGTGCAAGCATCTATGCAAAGCATTCTCCAAGGAATTTTTACTTGGTAAAGCATTTTTTGTTTACCAATTTTTTATTTTATTTTTTGTCTGGGCAAGAAAACAGCCACAACCACCAACCACGTGGAAGCCAACCAATTACAAAACTAATCAATGGGAGAGCTCACCTTTTAATATTTATGAAAGCTCAATATAATGGGAAAATATAACAAGTACTGTTTAGATTGAATACAGCCTATGGAGCATTGATTAGTTTTTCATCATCTTCTTCTTCTTTTATTTTGTGTTTGTGAGATTAATTGGTTTGTTTAGATTATAGGCAACAATCCAAGCTCATGAAGCACTAATCCTGCTAGTCTAATGTCATGGAGCTCATAGAACACTTAGTAGTGGCTTTTTTTTCATCTCTCCTCTCTTTTCATCCGAACTAACTGATTTGCTCAACTTATGTATACATCAGGATGCTCTAATGGAAGCAAGTGCTCAAACCCAGGTGCCTAGTTAGCCAATTTAGTGATTCAGTTTATCTCCTTGTTTCAGTCGTGTGGTGAATATGTGGTGAATGTGATGAGCATGCATCAATTGAGCTCTGGGTCTTGGGTCTTGGGGTGTCTAACCTCAATTAATTTAATAAAGAATTTTAATAAAACTTTTATCATGCAATTCTAAATTGAATTTTTTGAATTCCACTTTGACAAACCATAATTTTAATTAAATTTTGATAAAATTTCTCTTTCATATAACTCATAAGAGATAAAATGCAATATTGCAATCGTAACACTGTTCAGAAGAAGAGTAAATTTGAGTATGCTGAAGAAGCTCTACAAAATTAAATTTTTGAAAGGACGATAAATGGTGGACTGTGCATTTGGTTTACTAGGAGGTTTGCATTGTTTTCAATTCTCTTCATCTTCTAAAATGAAGCTTTTTACAGGAAATTTCCAGATTCTTATGTCGAAAATCTGAATGCAACCAAATGTTATCCTTGATATTGTTTACGCTTGCTACCTACTCCGTAATTATCTCATTGACAGAGGAGATGTCATGGAAGACTAGATGGAAGAACTTCATCCTGATGATCATCACTATGATCACCACAATGAGTCCAAGGGCAAACTCATCCGAGAAAAACTGCTTCAATACCTTGTTCAATAGCCTAGAAAGGATACTTAAATTTATACTAGTTTTCAAGTAGATGAGCCACGGCAGCACAGCATCAGGGTCCAGGAGCTCCACTTGATTGGAATGGTTGAGCTGGTGCAGATGTGAATGCAGCAAATGATGCAGTGCCTTTAGGCCATCTCCCCTCCTTTTGAAGCACTGCAGCTTTGAAGGGAGAGAGATTGGTAGCTGCTCCCAGTATTTGTCTATTTGAATCAAGCTAGCTCAAAAAAATGTTTAGACGAACAGAAGAGGAGCAAAACCCGGCCTCCCTCTCAACTCTTAACCTTATGAAAGCTCCTCGAGTTATTGAGGTAGGCACCAATCTCATCCAAGGTGCTCTTTCTCCAGCAAGATCAATACCTCTGTTGTGTTTTCAATCAGAAAAGTAAAGTCTAAACATCTTGTGAGTTAAGCTCTTTGTCAGGTTGTTCCTATTTTGATGAGGAGATGTGGAATATCTGGAAGGACTTAGTTACATTTCACGGCGAGAGATGGTGTATACAAGCTTGAAATCTTTCCTCTTGGCTTCTTCTATGATGCAATCGCTTTTCTTCTTTTTTCTTCCATTCCATTTGGAGCAGGCCTAGCTCCTGTTCAAGTTCGTCCGGGAGTGCGAGAGCCATCTCCAGTCCATCTTCCCGGCTGTGATGTTGGGGGAGACGGTGATCTATTCGCCAGCTTCCATAGATCCGGCTGAAGTGAGAGACTCATCACAAGCAGGAGCATTATCTTCATCAGCAGCAGCGAAGGAGGAAGAAGTGATATCGGGGGCGAGGAAGGAGGCGATGGAGAGAGAGAGGATGGAAATATGGAAGGGATTTACAGGAGCGTGGCAGCGCTCCACACTTCGCAAAGGCAGCTCGACCTCTTCAATCGCGACGTCAAATCTGGACCGTTGGTGTTTCTAGGGTTCTTTGATTAGGTCTACTCGTGCTCTGTTTCTCCATTTCGTTTATTTTCTTCGCGACTCGCCAGCGCAATGAGCACAGCGTCCATTCTCACGCTCTACTCCACCTACATCAGCTACGGCCTGCTCTTCGTGCTAGGTCATCTGCGCGATTTGTGCCGCTCGATCCACAGGGCATTCTTCGCGATCAAGGACGCGAATCCGCCGGTAAGCATTTCTTGAGGCTGGATTTGAGCCGGATCCCTGGATTTCTCGCTTGCTCTACAGGGATATGCGCCATTGTGTCGGAGCTATGAAGATTTCTATGCCAGGCGCTTATACCACAGGATCCAGGTAATATTTCGCTGGACTGGTCTTGGTTTTAGATTTCTTTTCTCTTTTGTGAAAGGATTGCTTCAATCGGCCCATTGCGAGCGCTCCAGAGTCGTGGATCGATGTGATTGAAAGGGAGTCGAGCGATAATAACAAGACTTTACAGTAGGTGATAACTTTTTGTGTTTGGTACTTAGAATTCTCGTGCTTTTGGAAGTTTCTTTTCGGGAGCTTCCCTGATCCTTGGATTTTTTGTTTTGATAGTCGGCCCTTCAAGACCCGGAGATGTCTCAACCTTGGCTCTTACAACTACCTTGGATTTGCTGCCGCTGACGAGTACTGTACGCCGCGGGTGATCGAGTCTCTGGAAAAATATGGTGCTAGCACTTGTGCTAGCCGTGTTGATGGAGGTAAAATTTCCGTTTTTTTCCTTTCTAGAAAGTACCTAACTTTATGAATTACAGGAACTACATCACTCCATGTAGAGCTAGAGGAGTTGGTTGCACGATTCGTTGGCAAACCGGATTCAATGGTTTACGGAATGGGTTTCGCGACCAACTCAACCACACTACCAGGCCTTATTGGCAAGGTATGATTTTTCTTTGTGGAATTTATGTCGCAAGCTTATGGCATGTGGTAGGGAGGACTAATCATCAGCGATTCTTTGAACCACGCATCTATTATATTTGGAGCGCGTAGTTCTGGCTCCAAAGTGAAAGTTTTCCAGCACAACTGTAAGCTGTTTTACGTTTGCGTTTTTCTCACTGAATGCTGATACGAATTTTCAGCACCCCAGCATCTCGAAGAGGTGCTACGGGAGAACATTGCTGAAGGACAACCTCGGACTCATCGGCCTTGGAAAAAGATAATTGTTGTCGTGGAAGGGATTTACAGCATGGAGGGGGAGATTTGCAGATTAAAAGAGATAGTGCAAGTCTGCAAAGCCTACAAGGTATTTTGCTCTCTCAATGTCTTCTAAAAACTGTTGGAATAGGCATACGTGTACCTTGATGAGGCACACAGTATAGGCGCCATTGGAAAGACTGGGAGAGGAGTCTGCGAGCACTTGGGCGTTGATCCTGCTGATATAGATGTGATGATGGGTACGTTCACAAAGTCTTTTGGTTCTTCCGGGGGATACATTGCGGGATCTAAAGTAAGACAACTTTCTCCTGGTTATTGTGACTCATGGATGAGAATATCTTTGCAGGACCTTATCGCATATTTGAAGAGCATTAGTCCTGGCCATATGTACGCAACCGCAATGTCACCTCCCGTTGCGCAACAAGTAATATCGGCCATGAAAGTCATAATTGGTGAAGATGACACTGATAGGGGTACGTTTGCTTGCTTACAGAGACTGAGATACCTTATGGAATGTTTCATTCAGGTGCCCGAAAGCTTGCTCAAGTACGAGAAAACAGTAACTATTTCCGTCAGGAGCTACGGAAGATGGGATTTGAGGTCCTGGGTGACAGAGACTCTCCAGTTATGCCGATTATGCTTTACAATCCAGCAAAGATCCCCGCCTTCAGTCGCGAGTGCCTCAGGCGAAATGTAAGTCTTTGCAACTTTGAAGCGGAAGTCTTGATTCTTCTTTCTGTTTTATAGGTGGCTGTTGTGACTGTGGCCTTTCCAGCGACACCCTTACTCCTAGCCCGAGCCAGGATATGTATTTCGGCGTCACACACCAAGGAAGACTTGGAGCAAGCACTAGAGGTCCGTACGTGGTAAAATCCCTTCCGAGTCTATAACCACGCGCTGTTGTTGTCCAGGTTATCAGTGAAGTTGGGGACCTGGTTCACATCAAATACTTCAAACATTGACACAAAAGTCCTTGCTTATGTACAAAACTGGAGACCGCAAACTTTCTCTTCTACTCGATGTCTTGGGACGCTTTGTCCTCGGGAGCTGCAGTGCCAGTGTCGTCCTTTCTCAAGAGGTCATCTGCCTGGAGTGTGGCCTTGAGAGCCTCGGCGAGCTCGCGATCAAGCTCCTCCGCAAAGTTCATGTCGTCATCGTCATCCTAGTCGGGAATTCACAGGAGAAAATGCAAAGTTGTCAGGAAAGAGGAACGATTTCACTGCTAGGTACCTCGTCCGCCTCGTCGAGCGCCTCCTTGGGCTGCTCGCTCGTTGTGTTGGTCGTCTCCAGTTGCTTCATGGCCTGTGTGTAAATGCTCTCCTCTACCTGGGGAATGAAAGAAACAAAGAACACGTAGAACACATTGGAATGGAAGTTGAATCTTCATACCTGTAAGTGGTGTAGCTGGTTGAGAATTTTTTGCTCGATTTGACACAGCCGCTCGGCCTCGTCTTCCAGAAGCCTGGTAACAGCAGCAAGAGAAACAAATGAAAAACAAGAGATATTTAACTTACTTGAGCATATCAACTGGGCTCATGGAGTCCATAGGCCCGGTGCCCATGCTCTCCACGACTGCCTGCTCGGACTCCATCATCTAGGGTTGCAGCCAAAGCAACTGCTAGGGCGCGCCACGTCATTTTATTTTTTCCCTTTTATCTTTCTTCCCAGTCTTGAGAAAAATACGACCGTCGAAACAAAGAAATGAAGAGAAATGTAGTGTGGAAAAACTATCCATATGAATCTAATGTAGAGTTTGAAAGCTCGCATTATTTCGTCCAGCCTCGACAGGTCAAGCACGCTGTGTTCCTGACGACCGTATCGACTTGTGAAGATGAAACTAAGGTAACAATCCCTTGTCTCGCATATCGGAGACTGTGTCATACAGCATTCGTTCGAGTGGTATGTCGAATTCAGTAATCAGCTCCATGATCTTCTTCTTTGCTATTTTCTCGGGATTACCGCCGTATTCACTCAAACCGCTCTTGTCAGCAACGCACCTGGCGTTTCCAGCTTTAATGGGAACCCCGGAAAGAAAATGCTTACTCTTTTGGATATGGAAGCTGAGGGAACTTGGCCTTGAGAATCTCGATGATTTCCCTGTTGGACACCACACTTTCCACGCAGAGATAGCGGCCCGAGGCCTCCTCCTTGTCCATGGCCTTAATGTGAGCTTTTGAGACGTCTCTCACGTCCACAACTGAGATGGACACATCGGCATAGCTGCTTTGGCTACCTGCAAAACGAGACGTTAACAGGCTTCTCAAGCAGTGAAAACTTAGCACAAACCATCCACGAGAACCTTCAAGACCTCACTGCTGAAATTCAGCGTTGGCTGGAGCATCGGGCCAAACACGTACGAGGGGCAGATCGTGATGAGGTCAAGGCCGTACTCCTTGGAGAGACTCCACGCTAGCTTCTCAGACTCCGTCTTGGCTACCACATACCATACCTTGAAACAAGAGTTCCAGTGAGTAAAGTCTACCATCGATAAAGTTCTCTTACCTTCATCTTCCCGCAGAGGTCAATATCAGACCAGCAGCTCTCATCGACAATTCTTTCCCTAGGCCGATTCGGATCGAACAGAACTGCAGCCATGGACGACGTGACGATGACCCGTTTGATCCCCTCCTGTGCGCAGGCTTTCAAGACGTTGCGAGTGCCGGTGATTGCTGGCACCAAAACATCCTGGGACTCAATTACACAGTCAGCCTTATCCAGAGAAAAGAAATGAAACAGGACATACATCTGGATTCTCAGGCGATATGGTTACAGGGCAAGCGGTGTGGAACACAACTTCACAGTCCCGAATCGCGTCAGCGATTGAATCGTAGTCAAGAACATCAGCTTTATGTAGTTTGAGTCTCTCGCTTCCATCCAATTGCTTTAGATGTCCATACTTGGCGTTATCTGAACGCCACCATCACTTCACAAACTAAGATAGGACAAAGATAAGAAACAAGAACCTGGATCGCGGACAGTGCCATGAACCGTACAGCCTTTCTTCAGAAGATCACGAACGATCCACGAGGCAATGAAACCACCAGCTCCAGTCACGCAAACTACCTTTGCCATTCGAAGCAATCTTTGAGTTCCTGCAATTCACTCCTTCCTAATTTAAAAAAAAAAATGCTGCACCGAGGAGACGTGTTTCCTGCTAAAAGTCCAACGGCGCAAGGACTTTCGTCGAGGCGTGTGGGACTCGGCACCTTTTTACTTAGGACAAAATTTTGGCTATGGAGCAGCGATGGCACCCATTACATATTCAAAGGAGGCAGTCCATTCAGCTTTGAAAAGGAGCTCCTTGACCATTCGCATTATGTCCAGAGACATGTCCAACTTACGTTGCCAACCCTGAAAAGGAAAGCAAACCAGCTTAGGCACTCTGAATTGGCACAGCGCATGACTGACCTCGAGAATGACTACCGTCACCATTACCGTGCACACCTCACCATCGAGGTTGACGCGGTACCTTCTCACTTGCTCAAACAGCTCTGCTATGTAATCACCCATCTTCGAAGTACCTCGAACTGACAAGTATTGCTTGAAGGTATTGTCGACATCGCCTACGAAAGCCTGTGACCAAACGCTTCAGTGTGATGTCTTCCCGGCTGAAAACAGCATACCTCTGGATTGGTACACGTTTGATCCTCTGAAAACTCAAGTGCGCAGCGTGCAACTCGAGCTCCATCTTTATCGGAGAGTGCCTTTCAAAGGACGTTGTCAGATAAGCCATGGAAAAGAAAGAGAAGCAATAGATACCTTAAACAGTTCCAGAAGAATGTACCGGTTTCTTTGACTTAGCTCGGCTGTCATTCCCACATCTAATAGTATCAATTGAGGAACCTTTTTACCCAGCTTTACGAACATATTGCCAGGATGGAGATCACCATGAATGAAATTATCTGACTGCCATACCACGATCGAAATAAGCAGCAATCAGCTTAAAAAGTTTCCATACCAACAACATCTTCAAAAGTAGACTACTCCCAAGCCTGGCCAACTGAGAATGTAGTTTCGTCCGTGGACCTTCGTCGATAAAATCTTGGATGCTCCGGCCTTCCTCAAATGTCTGCAAAAATTACCATTTAAAATCGATATAGGAAACCTAAGTTTATCGTAAGTTACCTCAACTAAAACTTCGGGATGCACAAGTGGATAAATAGGCCGTGGAAAAGAAACATTTCGCCATTGCCGAAAATTGTATATGAACCTCATCAAATGTGCTGCCTCAAGAGTCAAATCTACCTGGGAAATGAACGAGACTGGTAATTATATATGCGAGTATAACAGCCTCACCTGTTTTGTCATGAACGTCGCGAATTGCTGGACGGTTTTATCTAGCTGCAAGTGTTCTAACGAAGAAAACTTGGTCGACATTCGGGCTAACCAATTCATTATCACGAAGTCGCGCTGAATAACCGTGCTCACACGCGGATGCCGGACCTTCAAAAGGACTTGTCAAAGGAGAGCTTCAGAATAGATTGTGTACCTTAACGGCAACTACAAGTGGCTTTTGACCTTTGGTTCTCAAAACCGCTTTGTGCACCTGAGAAAAAGTCAAGATAACACTAACGAGGAAGCACCAAAGCACGATACCTGTGCTATGCTTCCAGATGCTATTGGTTTCTCAGAGAACTCCTCAAACAGACGATCTAAAGGTAAATGGAACGCCTTCTCAATGATTTTACGTGTTTCATAAAACGTATGGGCAGGTGCCTAAAGATATTAACTTCAGAAAAAAGTTGGCGGGAATCAAACAAACACAAACCTGCGAATGTAGCTTTGATAGCTGCTGGCATATGTCCGCTGGAAACATATCAGGACGAGTGGCGGCCCATTGTCCCCATTTGATGAAAGCAGGGCCTAAAAGAAAGCACGATACATAAGCTTAATCCTCAGATAGGCAAAAAGACGTACCAGCATACTCTAAAGTTCTCAAAAGCACATACAACCACGCAGCACGCAACCTCGAGTCAGGCTTGTCCGCTGCGAACATCGATAGCACTAACGCTGGAGTGAAGAGAGCAAACAGGTACAGCGTGCGGAAGAAGAGCAACACTGCTTCAACTGTCTTTGCCATGAAAACGAATCACTTATCAGATCAAGAATACCAACACCTTTGCTCGGGATGAAATTGTAGTACCTTTTGCCGGAAGGTGGCCTTCTTGAGCTGCAAATCCGTGTGGCTTAAAGACAGACCCGTGGGTGGAGGATGATCATACAGGCTTCCAAAAGGCCACTTCATTCCACCATTTGCCTCCTCGGCCATTGCCGCTCCTTTGAAGAGAAAAGGAGCACTCCCGAGTGTAAAAGCCATCCACCTGACTATCATCTGAAGATCCAAAAGAAAAAAAAAGTTTAAAAAATCCAGCTTTGAGTCACGAAAGATCAAGCTCAAACCCCAGAAATGTATGTACCTGACCTTTGTGGTTTCCCAAACCAACAAAAAAAGCTGGCTTCCAGTAGCAAAACTTGGCTTCCGGAGAGTGGAGAAGAAAGAGGTGCCTTCGTTGCTTCCAGCTCTTCCACGAGTGTATCAAAAACGCCGCCCGCCTCGCATTGGACACCGTCTCAAGCCTCGCCGCCTTCTCTAGCGCGGCGCTGGCGTGAAATTGGCGAAGGAAAATCGAGGAGAAGGAGTAGAACCTCCATGTCGACGCGCGAGTGGAGGAGCCATACAGCACCGTCTGGTTCCTTGCTCGCTTGAATCCCGACTTCCCCCCAAAGCAGGCGATGGCGGAGCGATAGAGCTGGTCTGCCTTCGTCCAGGGCATCACTAAATCTGCTGGCAACGCGCGAATTTTCTTCTCTGCGATCAAACCATGAAATCCGCGCTCCCGATTCACGGGAGATGGGAGAAAACCGCCTTGCCGACCGCGACGAGCACAAACCCTAAAGGAGAACCCTACAAATAAATATCCGTTTATGGTATATTCCGTTTTAAGGCTTCACATTTTAGGGTTCTTGGCAGGGATGGCGTCACAGAAGAGAGCGCCCGATCCCATTGCTGCCAAGGCTTCGGCGCCATCGCAGCGCTACGGCGCTTGCAAGCGCAATCACGCGCTGGGCAATGGCGGCTACTTGCTGGATGGATGCCAGGAATTCGACACCGATTGCGAGACGAGCAAAATCTGCTCGGCCTGTGGCTGCCATCGCAGTTTCCACACCAAGATTGGGGACAATCCAGGCAGCACGGGCGCAGGATTTTCAGAGGGATTACTGGATCCACCAGCGTCACCAGGAGATAGCAGGTAAGATCGATGATCGATCGTTCTTGCCTTGAAATATTTCGCCATGGAAGGGAAAATGGAGGAGCAGCGGCCGACACTAGAAACTCCAGCACTAGTTCCAAGGGGCGGAAGCCATGCCGCTCCAAGCAGCTCCGGGCAAAGGCCTGCCAGATCTGGACGGACTACTTGCGGCCTCTCTCCGCGGCCCAGGGCCTCCACGGGCGCTTCTGTGACACGAAAGAAGTAAGTCTGGGCGCTTCTCTTCTTCTAAGCTCTCTCTCCTCCTCCACGCTCGCTCTCTTCCTTGCGACCAATTCTAGACTTTGAGCGAGCAAACAAAAGAGCTGTGTTGCAGAGATGCAGCGAGGCGGACATCCACTGTGTATCTCCAAGTGTAGCCAGCTAAAGTGGCCTCCCCACGTCCCCTTTGCTCATCCCAAGGACATGGCTAGCCGCGAGCTCCAAGCTTTCATCAACACATACGAGGGCGATTGGCAAGAGCACTGCCTCAGGAACCACGGCTTCTCGTCGGCCTGCGCGCTTCTCCCTCGTCTAAAGAAAGGCAAGCTTTAGCTTGCATAGGAGAAAAAATGGGTGGATTGACAAGCTTCTCTCTTTACAGACTTGGATCCATGCAAAGTCTCGACCAAAGAACTCCGGCACTGGCTCAAGGAGAAAGGAAAGCCGGTCTTTTGCGTCCATCCTAAAGCCGCGAATCAGTTCGTCAACATGGGGAAGCTGGCCACTATGATCCTCCGAACGGGTGGAAAATGCAAGGTGCGTCTTAGAAACCAAGCTTTCGCGCACTGAAACTTGACGAGACTTCTCTGCCTTGGGACAGTTTGAGGCCGCGAACGGGTGGGACACGTTTGTGTCCGGCCAGGAGGGGATGAACAAACCGGCACTGCCCGCGGGCGAGAGAAGGAAGTGTATACGTACCATCAAGAGGCTCTACAACAGATTCATGATGGAGTTCGTCCAGGAAACGCTCAAAGAGATGGGGCTCGAGGACGACGGCGACTCGGCAGCGGCAGAAGTGTCCGACGGGGGCGGCAACGACGAAGACGACGATGCCGACGCCGACGCGAGCGAGGCCTTGAATCCCACGCCTCTGTGAGATCCCCGGTTTGATTGATCACAGCGGAGCTGAAGAAACAGAAATTACGCACAGGGGTTATACTGGGTAGAAAAGAAAAGAGGAGAGCTACCACGACGGGCGGAAGTATGTTGGTTGTAGCCAGCAGACTCCTCGGCCAAGTTCGCCGCCTCAAAAGTTGGAGCCAAGCAGTGGCTCCCTCTCCGGATCATCGCTCACAGTGTGAGTTACGCATCTCTGCAACTTTACAATGAAGGTGACCACCGATCCCTTGCCAGGGCCATCGCTCTCGATCCAGATGTGGCCTTCCATGAGATTTACCAGCCTGGAACTCAAAACCATGGAAAAAGGTTGAGTCCCAGATAATTAATATATACATCACAAACCACCTTTTGGAGATCGGCAGGCCTGTGCCACTGTAATGCTTGATGTTCTTGGCGTCGAGAATCATCCCACCCCTGTTGAAGTGCTTGGGTATGTCCTGCGGGAGGAAGCCTTGGCCCGTGTCTCTCACCTGGAAGTTATATACGAACGACGTGAGCTAACAAACACACCCGGAAGATCGAAACCGAGAGACTGTGACGCTACCTGTACTCGGATGTAACAATGCTGGTCGTTGCTGCCATTGACGCCCTTCTCCAGCCTCACGCTCGTACTCACGCTGCCTTCTTTGGTGAACTTGACGGCGTTTCCGGTGATTTGGAGGAGAACTTGGACGAGGCGACGGTCGTCACCGAGGACGTAGTCGGGAAGATCGGCTGCTAGTGACAGTGACAAGGCCAACTTCTTCACCGAGGCCACAGGCTTGATCTGCTCCATCACCTGTGCATCGCCACCAAAGTAGAAGGGACTGTATCACGGTGAGAGAGAAATGCGAACGTACCTCTTCGAAAATGGCGCGGAGCCTGAAAGCTCGCATGTCCAGCACGGTTTTGTCGTCCTCCAGCCTCGACAGGTCAAGCACGCTGTTGACGAGCTTGGCCAGGAGGGTGCTGTTCCTGAGGATCGTATCGACTAGAGCCCGCTGGTCTTGAGTCATGCTGGTCTCCTCGAGCCTGTGAGTGAGATCGATGATGGAGTTCATGGGAGTCCGCATCTCCTGGTTCATCACGGCCATGAAGTTGTTCCGGGCACGGTCAGCGCTCTCCGCCTCGCGCCGGGCCGTCTCGAGCTCCACGTTCTGCTGCATCAGCAGGTCCCTGGCCTTGATCGAGTCCTCCAGGATGGACGCATGGGACATAGCAACAGCAACCTGCGAAAATGGTGGCAAACTCGTTACAAAGCCTTTGCGAGAATGTGACTGAAAGGAACGAGAACCAAACCTGGTCGGCAACCGCGTCCACCATGTCCAGCTCGTGAGGTCTCCATCTCCGGGCGCTGTTTGGCGGCAGTACGAGCACCATGAGAGCAAACGGCCGGTGACCGTGAGCCTGAGACCAGTCCCCGACCCGAAAGTCATTCAGGTGGAGAAACGGGACTCTGACCGCCAGCACCTCTCCTGGAGCGTACCTGCACGATGATCTCGCGAAAGCGTTGCCAGCGGCCGTGAGTACGTGAATCGCAACCGGGCTGCTCGAGGGGATGACCACGGCCCGGTTGGCTCCAAACACGAGCTTTATGTCGGGGTGGTGGACGGGGACGCTGGCCGCCACCGCGTTGGGCGATCGCAGGCTCCGAAACAGCTCCAGCTCCGTGCCACTGCGATTCGGCATCCACAGGCAGCACTCCTCCAGCCCCAGAGTCTTGCCCAGCTCCACCAGCGTGGTGTTGAGGATGGTGTGCTTGACGAGGCTGTTGCGAATCTCCTTGGTGAGCATCCTCACGTACTTGCCGGTCTCGGCCTCGGTGCGCATCAGTCCCATCTCCCGGTCCAGCTCGTCGGCCTTGTTCTTGAGGAAGAGCTCGCGGGTCTTGACGCTGAGGAGGTCGGGGATGATCTGGACGAGCTTGAGAGCGGTGCCGCAGGAGACGACCGCGGTGAGCGCCTTGGCGACGGTCATGACCCATTCCACGCCGCGCGAGTGCGTCTCCACCATCCACAGGCTGATCATGTGTGTGGCGCCGCAGAGGACGATGAAGAGGCCGAAGAGGATGAGCACGCCGCGGTAGGGGAAGATCGAGGACTTGAGCACGAAGTAGGCGAGCTCGATCGGGATGGAGAAGTAGGCCAGGGCGATGAAGATGTCGGCCACGTATTGGTACCTGATGAGGAGATCCTCGGCCGGCCACAGCGGGTCAATGCAGTTGCAAGGATCCATGATCGATCCAGGCGCCGACCGCGATCTGTGCCAAGGCGCCGGTGTTAGAATCGAAATTTCCTGGGCGAGAGAAGCATCAAGAATCGCGCATTCGAGCAGCAACAAGCCAAAATCTAGCCCTTTCCTCTCGGCGGATCGATCATACTGCCAGCTATCGATCGCGGACCAGGATCAAGAACAGGCGCGGCGATGGAATCCAAACTCTCCGAGGAATGCACACCCGATCGGCAGGGGAACCTCACAAATCGAGAAAATATCAAGAAGAATCCCGCAGTGCTCTCGCTTCGACGATCCTGGAAGCAAGAAGAGCGCTCACCTGGTAAATTTTCTAGGAATTCATGCCCGGCGCGCGGTGGAGCTAGCTAGAGATTCCCTCGCTCGCTTCACGAGAAGCGCCAAACTGTTGCCCTAGAGAGGCAGTGATGCTAGAGAGATGATCTAAGAACAAGAGAGAGAGAGAGTAGAACCAGAGCTCACTCAAGAAGGCCAAATACCATAATTACCAGGTACGAAATACGGCCGGGTTAAAAAGTGAAAAGGGGGAAGTGGATAGTGCCCGAGTTTTATCCCATATACTTACATACGATTACGATACGAGCGCCTAGGCAGGCGTTAAAAGCCACGATTACCACGCCCGGCCTGGCGTGGCCTTCTCTCGTGACGCGCTGGTAAAAAAGAAAGGACTTTCCCGCCTTGCTATGCTTTGTCCGAGACCCCGAGAGAATATCCGGCACGAATGGGGAGCGAATCTCTCTCTCACGAGATCACTAAAGTTCTAGGTGATTATATCTAAAGCCACAATCCCATGTCATGTGCTACGCCGACTAAACTATCATAGTCCAAATCCCCTCTCGTGCCTAAACTTTATGTTAGTTTACGAGGACAACATCCGATTCAGTGTGTAATGGGCTTTGGCTTGATCGAGCCATCGATTATCTTTTCTTAGTTTTCGTTCCCACCGATCAAAGATATCAAGAGTGATGATGCTGTCGTTCACTTGTCTGGTCTCAAAAGCGCCGCGGAGGTAACCATCACGCAACTTGGATCATTGCGCGACAAACTCTGCGTTTTCTTTAGAGTAATACGATATTTTATAGATATAATTAAATATACTTAACTTTACGACTTGATTCCTTCAATGTTCTTTGAGACAGAAATCTTGCAATTGGCATTTCTTTTGTCATTTGGCCAAATTACCAGCCAAAACTGACATTAACCTCTATTAATCTTTAGGACATAGCCGGACTTTCCAATCAAAATGTGACTTCCAGTGGTAAACATAACTATAAACACAGGACAGTTCCTCAGCTCAGGTAGAACATTACAAGAGCTAAATCAACTAAAGGTTAACAATACCACAATAGAGATATGACTAACATTTCATTTCATAAATTGTCTATTTAACAAGAGTAAAGATTCTTTACTGAAACTGGTTAGAGTGACAATATATGAAGTGTTTATAGAGCCCAAGTGCGGAGCAAGGACCCTACTTCTACATGCATGCAATACAATGAGTTTCAGAGACAAGTGGGATTGATGCAAAAACATAACAGCAATGAGGCTAAAGTCCCAACAAAAGAGTGTCAAAATGTTTAATGTTTGTGTGAGATTGAAATCTAAACTACCCGAATACAAAAGTCAAAATTATATACAGTGCGAATTTTGTTGGTTTGTGTACAATTGTGTACAGCAACGCTTGAGAATTTTGTTGGTTTGTGTACAGAAAAATTTGGTTACACCGGCAAGACCATTTTGTAGTCGCCTTTGAGGAATCTCCACGGTCCACTTGCTGTTCCAAGCCTGGAAAATCATACCAGCTTTAGACAACGCGCGAGTAAATCTACGCTCGAATTCAACCTTAGCAGCCCGGTGACGAGGCGGAGGCACATAAAAAAGGAGAGGCCAATCCATATGCCCGGCAGCCCCCACCAGAGAGATCCCAGAAAGAGAGGAACAAGCGACGCAGCTCCAATGCATATCTATCAAGACGCGAGATTAGTTTACAGGGCCACTGGAAGTTTGAAATTTGGATAGAGCACATGATCTTACTGTTGAGTAGGCAGAGAAGGCAAAGTCGGATCCTCCGAAATATAGACCGTCAACCACAAACGCCAGCGAGTTGATGGGCTGTGTCGCAATCACAAACTGCCAAGGTCTTGGTTAGTAAGAAAACGAAAAAAAGAAAAAGTTCTTAGGTTCAAAGCTTTACAGACCGGCAAAACGATGTTCACGATCTCAAGAACTTCGGTGTCGCGCGTGAACATTCTTAACAGCCACTGTGAGACAAGAAAGAGCAGCAGGCACACAAGGACTCCAAATCCGAATCCTATCTGCAAACCAAATAGAAAAATTACGGCCAAAGCCAAAGCAGAGAAAACGTTTAGAAAGAGCACCTGAAGAACACGATACGCTGCCAGTTTGACCTTGTCGTACTCGGCATTTGCCAATCCCTCGGCAACGATGGCCTGGCGAAAAAGAATGAAAACGTGACAATGGCTTAGAAAAACATCCAAAGCTTTTTAGAAAAAAAAGAGTTCTGGCAACCTGTCCCGCAAGAGCTAGAGAATCAGAGAGCAGTGAGGCGGCTAACCAGATCTGGACGCAAATTTGATGCGCTGCCATTGGATTAGCTCCCAGCCGAGCAGCCAGCGATGTGGCAAAAGTCATCGTCAAGAGCGTTCCAATGGTGCGAAGAAGCAGCAAACCTCCTGTCAGAGCAATAGCTTTCAGAGCCTATTTGAACCAAAGTTTTTGACTCGCTTACCGGATCGAAAAAACCTCCCGAAAAACGACCATCGCAAGCGTAAGGGAAACAACACGACAGACTGATTAAGCTTGTAGAGGAGTACGAGGAGGATGAGATAGCTGCACAGGTACAGACAGAGCATGTTTAATCCACAGTTGCAAGCAACCATTAAAAACACAAAGAAAACAATGTATTATTCTTACTCGGATATCACGGTCGCTGCTGCCGCTCCATAGACTTTGAGCCGGAGTGTAAACATCAGCACTGGGTCCAAGGCAATGTGAACAACGTTTCCCAGCACTGCCAAGAACAGTTTAAGCAAACAATTGGTTTTCAACGACTTTGATCTTGCCTGTGGCATATAGCGGCGTCTTGGTGTCTTTGAAACCACGAAAGCTTCCCTGAATTGCCAAGGACACAACGATGGCTGGTGAGGCGATGGAGCGCAACAAGAGATACTGCTTTGCTGGAACAAACATGTCCGAATGCTGCAAGATTCCATGCGTTAGTCTGGTGATCAAAAAGGTGGAAAAACGCTTGGTCTACCGGAGGAACTCCCATGAGTTTCAAAACCTGCGACGATCCACCGGCGAGCAGAGCTGCCTCTGCTAGTCCGAGGATCAGACCCAGAGCGAGCGACGACGATACCGCAGGAAGTTGTACCCGTGGTTGCTGTGGGGGATCTTCATCTGCGAGTTCTTCTTTCGCATAATTGGCAAGAGAGAAAGAAGTCATACCTTTAGCAACGCTAGCTTGCTTCTCCTCGCTGAAGGAGCTTTCCAGAGAGCTGGCCTTGTCCTCGGCTACAAAGGACGTGGTTATGGTGAGCAGTGGTATGTTGAAAACTTTGGAGACGAGGTTGAAGAGAGAAATGGAGACGCCCACTGCCGCAAGCTCCACCGATCCTGTCAAGGAGAGATTCACAAGAAAAAGTTAAAAGGAAAGAACCAAAAGGATTAAAGGAAATCTTACCAATTCTCCCGATAAACATCGTGTCCACAAGCGAGGATAGAGGATCTGCGGCTAGAGCAAAGGCCGCGGGCAATGCTATTGCTGCGATCTCCCATAGCAGTCCAACCATTCCCCGGAGTCGATCGATCCACTCCAAAATCCTCTCGCTATATCAAGGGGTCCAGCGATGAGAAATCGTGTTAGCTCCGTCAATCCAAGCGCGACGGATTACCATCGCGGCGCATCATCGCGCCCGCGGCATCTAGGGCGGGAAACGAGGGAAATACAAACGCGACCGCTAGGTTCCAAAGATTCGCAAATGGACTAAAAATTATACTGCAAAAATACTGTCTCCTTTTATCCGGAAGTTTCAGTAAAGATAGTTTTGTGGTAAAAGGTAAGAGGTAAACAAAAGTTTAACCTGTAGTAAAACACGAATAATGGTGCCACTTGTAAAAAGGTGTCCCCACTTTTTCTATCATCTCACCATCTGTCGAATTGGTGTCCACAACCAGGAAAAAAGAAAGATCCATGATCTTCTCAAAACTTTTTCTCCAAGCAAAGGGAGAGAAGAGGGAGGGAGAGAGAGAGAGAGAGAGAGAGAGATGGAGGAGGCACAGAGAAGAGCTCCCCTCAAGAAACGCAGCTTCTCAGCGTTCCATAGCCAGCAGCAGGAGCACCACCAGGCCGGCCAGATGCTCCTCCTCCACTGCTACATCGAGTGCTGGAACCTCTTGCAAGGGGCCGCCGGAGTGGGACAATCAAAGCTCTTGTCCGACGATGCCCATCCCTGGAGCAGCACAGCAACGACCCTCCAACCAGCCAGTGACGAGGACTTCGTCGCTTACCTCGCTCGCTCCAGTGGAATTCGCGACACCAGCGCAATTCGCAGGCTCAGGCAAGCGCTCGACGCCGACGAAGCGAGCGGCATCTCTCAAGTCGATACAGTTTGCCGGAAGAAGTGAAAAGAAAAAAAGAATGGAGCCTGATCCAAAGAGAGAGTACGAGTTGTGTAAGCTCACAAATATAAAACGAAGTGGCAGCTTACGCTCAGTCCGATGCCAGGTCCGGGCCGAAGATATCTGGACAACCCTGCCACTGGCCAAGCTTGCGAGCTTCCCAGTACGTTTTCACGAACCGGTAAGTGCCTTGATCACTGCCTCTCTTGAACCACCTTGGCGTCCACCCCGTCTCTTGCAACTTTCTCGCCTGTGAAGGATGAGAAGGTTTGAAACTGGCAGCTTGAGAGCAGCACAGGCAAACCTGGCGTTGTTTCTGTTCCAGCCGCTGCTTCTCTGCGTTTGCCAGGTCGTATTCCCCGTTCTCCAAGTATCTTTGGTCCGGTCTCAAACGCGAGTCTGTTGGTGGGAGCTTCTCCTGCTAGACAACCGTAAATTGGCACGAAAGTCTTGGGGTAGCAGATCGACGAACCTTGAGATCAGGGGTGATTTCGTTCAATGTTATGGCAAAGGCGGTGAGATTGTATCGCGTTGGGAACTCTGCCGGAGGATTCTTTTGCCACAGTAGTGTGGCCGTATCCATCGGGTCGTAGCCTCGAGCATTAGACACAGGATCCCCAAGCACGTAGTACATACTCTCATCCCACTTGCCGATAAGACTAGCCAGTTTATCACCGCCTTCGTTGTGGACGTACCCTTGAACCTACGAAACAGGACGTGAAAGTACCGATACGTTAACTCTATAGAACGCAGGATTAAAAAGGAAAACGAACCTGATGCGGATTTCTATCTATCATAGACTGCTCTTTGAATTTGAGCTTACAAGAAAGACCTCGATTACCCTGAATACGCATTGTACCATAGTGATCGACATAAAGTTTGCCGAGAATTATATTGTTTATAGAGGACGTCACCTGTGAGAACCCACGGAGTTTGTCATAGCTGTACGTGGTATATTGGCTTCACTGTACCTTGCTCCATTGGAATGTCTCGCCATCATCAAATTGAAGTGTGAGTACTCCAACAGGATCAAGTTGAATTGATCTACCCCAAAACTTGCTTTTGAGCGTACTGTCTCCCCAGAGTTCCCACCCTCGGCCTTGACAGTGACAAGCAATGACCATTGGATGATGGCTTACCTGCAATGACCAGCAATGTTAGTTTCGAAGAGTGAAAAGAAGTTCATGCTTACCTTCTCAGCTATAAAGCGTACGCCTTTGTCCGGAAAATCTGCTTCATACGTTTCTCCGAGCAATGGATTAAATGGCTTGCAGTGTCGGCCTTCTGTAGAAGCGTAGCCAGAAACTGCGAAAGCTGCCACGTACAATATTCTCATTAGCCTGTTTCCCTGTAGACAAAACACTGAGTTGCGTCAGTCTTGGTAATCGTATTTCCGTTACATTTTGTCCATATTCTCTGGCGCGATCAAGCAGTTGAGAGTACTCCAAATCTTCAAAGCATTTTTGCAAGGACGATAGTGGCTCGTTGAAATAAACTGGCAAGCAAATTCGACTCAGGTCCTTCCCAATGTTGTCTCTGATCATGGACCAAAGGCTGACACAGTTTTCAACTTCCTTTGGTTCCGGTAGCCTGGTGCGCCTTTTAACAGAAGGATATACAACATCCTCGCCAGAAGGCCCGTTGCTTGAAACATCCTCGTTCTCAATCAGCTCCACAGTTGTGTTAAACACGGCGCTCTCAAGGTATGCCTCCGAGAGAGACTCCCTGGTGTCAAAGAAATCCTCGTCATCTGACTCCGCTTCCACGACTTCCTGCCGTATGTCTTCATCAGATTCTGATTCATCGGCACCTAAAAGGCGTAAAACTGCAAGAAAACGGGCCAGAATCACGTTTTCACGTACATGAATGAGTCTTAATACCGTGGTCTTTCAACGCTCCCACTACGTTCCCTGCTCCCGCAGACGCATTGTTCTGCATCTCGTCTACAACTGTAGTCTCCAGCTCTAGCTTATCAGCCTGACAACATCGATGACATTGTCACCACAATGTAGAATCACCCTGAACTGAAAAAACACTGAAAAAACATACCTCGAGAAGTCTAATCTTTTCGATCAAGAACAGCCTCTTTTGTTGCATTACTCTCAGTTGGTGTTGGATTTTTGTAAACTCGGACATCATAATCTTCTCGCATTCTTTTATCCCTTGCTCGGGGACTCCCAGCTTGACAAGGTGCTCATTGAGCGCGCCTGTCGAAATTTTAATGTTGTCTGCCGGCGGAGGATAGCTTAAACTGCTCATGTCTTTCGGGAAAAGGTCCTTGGAAGTTCTTAACGCATCCATCCATGCCGTCCTGTCCTCCTTCGACTCCGCACGGAGATGCAAAGTTTTTGTTCCCGTATAGATGTAAAACTTCCTATCATCTGACTTGCTCTCTCGGAGAGAGCACACCTATCAGAGAAGAAAACCTTATGGTGACTTACAAAAAAAGAAAAAAGAAAGAAAACAAAAGTACCTTTAAATGTACCTCTCCAAATGTTCTTCGATGCTGCCTCTCCTCGCCTTGGGAACAGAACTTTGGCTTCTTCAAGAGCTTCCGCGACTCATCTCCAATGATCTTGGAAGCCTTGATCTGCTCGTTCTGCACGCAAATCTTATCGGGTCCATGGATCTTGTAGTAGAAAAGAATGCCGTCCTCGAGCTCAAACCATCTGGGCCTCCATCCCTTTCCATAATTCACCCACTTGTGAAGAACACCGGCTAGCGCCGGGGCTGAAGACGCGCAGACATCGCCAGAGTGGCTCTTCTTCCTCGTTTTCGCGGTTGGCGATTTGGCGAGCAAATCCCCGGCATCTGGAAATGCCGCTGGGGCTGCTGGATTCCTGGCGGTGAAAGACGGCACCTTGGAGCCAGTGGCCTTGCTAGGCTTGGAAGAGGACGCCGCGGCCATCAAAGCGCAGCAAGGAGGACGAGGACGCGCGAGACGATCTCCGCCATTTCACAGATTGGATCGGCATACCTTGGCGCCGGATTGATTAGAGCCGAATTCCACGCCGATGCCATGCCGGCTACAAAAGCGATGCGAAGATTGCGCCATCGCCAATTGAAAAGCCCTAACCCTAAGCTCCGGTGATGGTGGGAAAAGCTGAGACGTGTCATATTCAAAGATTTTCAAACAAAATTAGGTTTCGTGGACGGCAGGATTCGAACCTGCGCGGGCAAGCCCACATGATTTCTAGTCATGCCCGATAACCACTCTGGCACGTCCACTTAGCTGTTAAAGTAAGATCTATATGATGTAAAAGATAAAATGGGAAGCGTGAGCACGCACTTATAAAGTAAGATTAATTTGAAAATTGGCGGCTTTAACGAGCTCGCCGTGGACGCGCATGAAAGTATTCCGTGAGGCAATCGCCTTGCAAACTCTACACCATAATCTGTCTGGAGAGATTCAGCTCCCCTTTTTTGATCATCCTAATTGTACATTCAATCGAAGTACCGCCGAGTTTGGGACTTTAGAGAGTAAATGAGCCTGTGGATGTGCTTCACTCCTCGTCCTACCTTGTCCTGAATGAAAAAAAAAGCATGTCTCTAGATCGAGGATGGGAGCTCTATTGCTTACCTCTTTGATGGACTCCAGCTTCTCAAACGTTGGGAGTAGCTTCTGCCCAAGAGCATCTAGCTCCCCTTTGTGTGCCTGCGTTGAATCCTGGGCTCCTTGAGCAGCTTCTTGTCTGTAAAGCAAACCATAAGTTATGGGTGTTTTAGTTTGATGAACTTACATCGCTTCGACATGGAGGTAGAGGATTTCCAAAGCTTGCTCCACGACGAGAACAAGGCAAGCGATTTGAGTATCGCGGATGCTGGCATCTGTACACATCTCCACCATTGCCAAGTACCTTCTGCAACCAAATCGTGATAAGTAACAAAGCAACGAAAACGCTCTAATAGGATAGGACCTCTTTCGCATGCTTTCCATTTCGGACCCTTGCTTAGACTTTGCGATGTCATCGACTTCCTGCCTTGTAAGCTCGTTAATATCAGGAAGCTGCAAGAACAAACAGGTTGGATGCTTCAAAACTGTTCAACGCCGAACCTTAGCCACGATAAGCATTTTCTCTTCCGCAGAAGATTCGAGATCTAAAGCCGCCTGTTCCAAAAGACTTGAGACAAGCTTGAGGCTGGGTTGCCTTTGAAGTCCCAAGGTGTAGTGTCGCATAACCACCTCAGAACTCTGAAAATGCAGCTTGTTAGTAACTAACCAGTTTCTCGTAGCAAAAATCTCATACGTCTGTTCCAGAGATGTTTAGTCTCATTCCCTGCTTGCTGACTAATGTGTGAATGTAGGAAACCAGATTGCCACGAAGGCGCGTCACAAGAAGCTCTATTTTCTTTGAGTCCTGCGACAGCGAAATACACAATCACTTGCAATCGCTAGGAAACTAATCTTACCTCAGCAGGTACCCCCATATTTTGACGTTGGCTTTTAGAAAACTGAATGAATCCACTACGTGATTGATTATCCTGCGCGAAATATATGTATGCCAAATTGAACAGGCCTTGTTTGAAGCCAAAGTCCTCAGAGCCCTCGAATGGCCACACCTATAATCGGAAAGAAAATTTGAAGCATCTAATTATTATGATATACCTTCGATAAAATTGCAGTCGCCAAATGGAGTTCTTCGAGGTCTGCCAGATACATTTTCGTCCCATCGTCTCGCAAGATACGGTCGAACAAACCATGATGAAGTTTAACAAACTCTAGAACTTCAAGAGCTACTTCATCGCGGTCCTGTTCAATAAGACGTAGAATCAGCGCCAGTAAGCAATTGACACCTTACTTTTCTTCCTGTGTCAATTAGCGTCGTAAAACATAAAATCAACCTCAGAACGGGTATGACAATCTGATGCTGCCTGTCATGTTGTGATGGCAGTCCAATTCCCATATGCTCCTTCCTCGCATCGTCCTATTTCACAGAACAAACCACATTTTGAGATACGCTCTTAAATTCAGTTTACCGTCAGCTGGACATCAATAGCTTTACAGGATGACAGATGTTGGATGGCACCCATGGCAAACAATGCTTGCGCGCCTCGTTTCTTGTTGTGAAAACACACTCTTAAAAGTAATGCCAATTCAGCCTCAAGAGTATATAGACGTCGGATCATGTCACGAGAAGGTAGAATTAAAGCCTGTATGTTCGAGAAGTTACTAAACAGCGAGAAAACATTGTAATGACTTCTTTCACCTGATAAGAATTTGTACTAATATCAGTGAAGCAGCTGTTCAATAAACCCCTGCTTTGCAAATGTCCAAAGAACAGCTGATTACGATCAACCGCCACAAGTGCCTCTAGAACATAAAACGCAATTGCCTTTCCCGTTTCACTTCCATGTAATGCATCTTTTACAACCTGAAGAAATTGTTACATTTAAAAAAAAAAACATAGCTAATAGTTTTACCAAGTCAAGCAGGGCAGTAGCCTCCTGCCTAAGCATATTAAAGTTCATTTGAGCAAGTTCGGCCTGATCCCCTTCTAGCTGCAACTTAAAACGTACGTAAGCATTCATGAAGGGTAGCTTCACTGCTTACCTTTTCGAATTCTGTGTCCTCAACGCCGTCTTGCCCCTCCATCAAAAGTCCCCGCATCATGGAAACCGAAAGTTCCGAATTTACCATGCCTTGGCAATAATGAAAATAGCTTAACAAAGATGCAAATTGCCTGAAAGCATCCAGCTAGAGTGGTCAAGATTTTATTCCAATAAGCATCGTACCTTCGTCTTAAAGCTTCAGATGACTCAGGTCGCAATACACCGGTAAGGAGTTTCGAGAGGATGGTCTGGCACGCGGTATTGGGTAAACGGACCGTTGTCAAAACATCTCCATATGTAGCGTCATCATTGTAATCTTCTTCACCAGGCGCAAATATACCATGATCTTGAAGTTTTGCCATTGATGTCAGCACAACCTGAAACAAAAATTCTTGACTCTCAGGTGCGAAAATAAAAAGAGAAAAGAAAATAAATAAATAATAATAATACAATTTTCCTTACCTGGCTCAAGACATAAGCCATGCTCAAAGAACAGTCTGAAGAACAACTTGCGTCCAAAACCGCTTCCAGTGTGCTATTAAAAATCAATGCATTAGAACTCCAGTTGCAACCAAATGTAGTATCTTACTCATAGATCACTTGAATGCGGTTCCCTAAGAACTCAAATCGTCTGGAGAATGTCACCTGAAATACAAGAATTAAGCAAACGTTTAAGGTCCCAACGTGCTTACCTCTACTAGTTGGGTCCATCCCACAAGCATGTGTAACTGTGCAGCTTGTTCTTCCAAAAACTTGTTGCGCTTCCATGCCCACCTAAGTAGCTGCTGCACGGCGTCACGTACTGCCACTTGGCGTCGCTCATTTGCCAAAATGTTATATTGCATTTCTAGCCTCTTGCACGCCTGTTAACGCTTATCGGTCCAAGGTCCAATCTCTCGAGAACGTTACTAACCTGCCAAAGCTTGTCCCTGAAAGCAGTCAGATCGATTATTCTGTCGCCACGTTCTGAAAGCGTATAGATGCCACCATCGTCGACCAATGCTGGATTGTTCAGAATCTCTTCAACCTGACATAATGTTTTATCAACACTCTCCAGGAGCTTCACAGAATTACAGACCTTCAAATCTTCTTTAAAGTCTTCTATGCACTGTGGAATTTCGGTTGGAGGCTCTGCCAAAGAAAACTGCAAGATATCAAGGAGCTCCAGAACCTGATAGACGTACTCATAGTTACAAAACGAGCAATTAACAGATTGTAACGAACCTTCATTTTTTGAAGGCCATAGTTAGTAAGCAACGCCGGCACGGCATTTGTCACAGGCAGAGGATCCACGCTTTCGTCCATAAAAAGCTTCCCCACAAGGCGACGACAACTCCGACGATGTGACAAAACATCCATGTCACTGACATGCAAATCCAGTGCCAATAGCTTAAAAAGCCATGCTCTCTGCAGAAAACAAATGAAGTACATCTAGACGTCGCGAGCTAGGCTATGCATACCTGCTGCAAACTGCTAATACGTAAAGAATGGTTTGTCTCTCGCTTAGGAAGTGGCTCACAAGCAGAGTCCAAATGCTGCAAAAATGACGAGTCATAAGGCCGAAGATGCAAGAACTTGTTAGCGGGAAATTAAACGAGGACGTACGCAAGAAAAGAAATCGTATTTCTCCGTTCGCATAAGGTCAAGCATCGGGCCACTTGTAAATTCATCGACACAGAGCTCATACACCAGCTGTAGAACTTAACAATAGGTAAGAGCACGTCAAAAGGACAATGTATTTCATCTTGCCTGAAATCCCAGCTCGTGCAACGAGGAGTTTGCATCTGGCCTCGCGCGTGATTCCAGAAGCTCCAATATAACTCGCATGCAGCTGATATGATAGTTCAGAGTAGAAATTTGAAAAACAAGACGCACCTGTATACGCGTTTTGGTTGAAGGATTGTCCGTTCAACAGGTTGATCTATGTCAAACGTGAGTAACAAATGAGCTAGATTTGGAGAAGGTCGATTCAAGTTTGACAAAAGCAGCTGTGTATACACAATGATGTTATATAAAGAAAAGAAAGAAGAAGCTTCCATACCCGCAAAATAAGAGAGCCCGAATCTTCTTTAACACAGTCAGAAGTCTGAAGTTCATGACTGCGGGCTTCTAAACAGGCTGCATAGTCCTCAACAAGATTTGTTGCGGCATTGGCATCGACAATTAAAGAAACTATGTGTGGCAATCGAGAACTGTCCAATAAAACTCTTTTAGCGCAATTCGATGGTGTAAAACAATCGCACCTAAAGACATCCATGATCTTGATCGACAGATGTTGGATAGTTGATAGCGATTCATAATGGATGTACTGGATCAAGGTTATGATTTGGCGGCTGTCATGCGACAATATAGCATCGATAGTCTACAAAATAAGCATACGAAAGTTGAAACGCTACGAAACAAAAAGAGTTGTACCTGATAAATCGGTCGCCAGTGGTCGGCATAAAAAATATCTTTCTGAAAGGCAATAACTAAAAGCTCCAAACAAAGCTGCACCGCTTCCTCAAGAGATGGACCATAGTTTTTGCTAATGCGTTCCTCCAGTACAAAATCAGCTCCAAGCATAACAATGCTCATGAGACTTCGGAAGATAGATTTTCCGCCCATCAAATCCTGAAAACGTTTCGCTTAAAACATCATAAAAAATACCATACGTACCTTCATTATTTCAATTGGTGGAAGATACAGCTTTGCTCCGCCAAAGCTCTGCTCAGATCCTTCCAAGGAATTTTGAAGATCCCCCTCGGACACATCATATAGCGTCAGCATCCTATGAATACAATGCTGTCAACAAAGAACTCTAGGAAAAAAACAAATTACAAAACATACATTTGGAAGTGCCTAAGGGATGCAACCACCATCTGCCATTTATATGTGGGATCAGCATAGGCCCTTTGAGCATACGGACCGAACACCTGATCTCGGACAAACTTGAATATGCCAGCGAATCTGAGAAAAACACTTAAAAGAAAGAAATAAACGAAATTTCAGTCTTACTTTTGACCCTTGTGAGACTTGTCGGGGTCATTTGCCATCAGAACATTCAGCAGGTTCAAATATGAAATTGTAGAGGGATATTCTTCTTGCCTTGCCTCCACTTCATTCAGTTCAAACGTCATGTCGTAAACTTGTTGCACATTGGCTCCTCCCAATGTAGTGGCAGCTGACAGAGGAAGATCATAAGCATCCAGTAAGCTCCATACTCTGTCTCTTATAACTGGAGATAACGGAACAAAGGCAGAGATTGCATTTCGCAAAGATCCCTGTGCAAATCCAGTATTAGTTCCGCATGACAACACTGGAAAACGCGACCTTCAAATACGGTGGAACATTTTCAAATGGGAGAAGCTTAAAAAGCGGTTCAATATCCGGGAACCAGAGTGCCCTTTCCACCTCGCTACCAGCCTCCAAGACCTTGAAAAGAATGATCATACGTCAATATCACCAGCAAACTAGCGAAGTACCTTTTTCAAAACTTGCAAATAGGCGTCAAGAGCTTTGGCATCTCCCTCCTGAAAAGGAGGGAGCAAAGAACCGCTTGTTTGAATGCAATGTCTGAAGTGCTCCTCATAGACATTGAGCGAATTAAAAAGCGTCTGCCAACTAACAGTACGGAAAGTCTTGTTCTGTAGCATCTGGTACACTTGTCTAGCCCCTTCCTCACTGCAAGCCTGTAAAGGTTTTATGAAAACACAGTCGTGATTTTTTGGGCTTACCAATCCAACCAGCATCTTGAGAAAAGCAACTAATGTAAGGTAGCTTGAATGGTCTTCGCTTATGAATCTTATGAAGTTCCAAAGAACTTCATTATCAGAAACAAGTGCTGGTTCTCTCTGATAAACAACAAATTCCGTAAGAGAACGTAAGAACAATGGAAAATCACCTGGTAGACTTCTGATATAAGCTCGAGCAAAGATATAAAAGGATCAGCTTGTGTTTGCATAGCTTGACGGCGTGTTATCAAATCATCCTCCATTGGCTCCTCGGTCGGATATGGATCAGAAAACATGGCGACATTCTTCAAATCTTTGATCTATTGAGGACGTCAAAAAGTAAATCCTAGAAGTGTTGAAGAACATTTAACGTACCTTCTCTCTGCCGATTGGATTGGACAAAAATATTATGAAAAGTTTGTGCAAATAAGCATTGTACATGAACACAAGATCTGGATCATCATTCTGCCATGCCATATAAATAACCAGCCTCGCAAAAATGTAAATAACCGTTACCTCGAAGGCGGCAGCTTTTAAAATTTTCTCAACGAGGAATTTAAAAACGTTCTGCTCGCAAGCGTGATCAAGACATGCTCGAGCATTTGTTATATCAGATTGTGATTCGTTGATTGAAATACCGCTCGTGTCAACGTTAGACATAAGGAAGACCCCCCATACTAGTCTAATGACATCTGTAAAACCTTTCGTTGTGCTCTCAAGCCCCACCTCCATAACCTGAAGAAAAATCAGGAGAGAAACTATCTTGCAGAACTGGTACCTGATTATGGAACTCACGGCGAAATACAGCATCTGGCGAAAGCACAGATCCCATCTCGTGACCACCACCGAGAGCATCCGATATTAACGAGATTGCAAGGGTAAACATCACTGTGTACGCTATCTGCGACAGGGGATATTGTAAGTGATCAGCACGCATAGGAAGACACCTGAAGCTTGACGACGGATTGTGACGAAAATGGATCTCCCGAACAGTCCTTAACAAGACCATAGATGTCTTTTGCTTCTTGCGAATCTACAAGAAGAGAAAATAAACTACAGCAACAAAGACCTCAGAAACTTACTGATCCGAACAATAAGGCATGAAAAGACCAAACACTGGCATATGCTAAGCCGTTCTCTAAGTGCGACGTCATGACGTAGTACAAGAGCTCCCCTGGCATCCATAACATAAGGCTCAACCCCTGGCCCGCCTAAGCCAGACGGATCTTCGCGACCAAGTTCCTGTTAAGTGGCATATAGTCCCCGATGCGATACAAGTGACGCAAGGGTACCTTGATAAGTGTCACAAGTCGCTTGCGTAGTCCAGCGTCAATCAAACTCTCGATGTATTGTCGAAGATCAACGACCAAGTCTGGATCAAGCTCTTCGTCAAGCACAACGGCCTGTTCTGGCAAGAAAAGAACTCATAAGAAAACAAACATAAACAAAGCCGCAAACTTTACTCTCAGAATAAGCTGCAAGGAGTTGATTAGCGCTCTTCTTTCCGTGAACCACAACCCTGCTGATAGTCGGAGGCCCTCGAGAGGCTCACGTCCTAAGAGATTCCACTGCGCAAAACAAAAATTACGTACGTGAGACCTGCACAAACTTAAGGTCGTTTTTCACCTCTTGATGAGCAGCGACGAGAAGACTCACGCAATCGATCTCATTCAAATGATAGTCGTCACTGAGTTTCAAAGCCTGCGATCAAAGCAAAGAACGTTAAAAGCTAAGAAGGAAAACTCCTAGCATACAATTTGAACATCCTGATCGTCGAGCACGGTGGGCGGCGCGTCCGGCAGCTTCACTTCTTTCGATAAAACCTCTGTTCGATCGGCTGCCTTGGGCTCCTGACGCACATTTCCTCGGGGTTTAGGGCTTTGCGGAAGAATCTCTACGGTGACCTAGCTTACCGGATAGAGGAGGAACGATTCGAACTCTGGGCGGCACAAATGCAGCATATGGAAGAGCTCCGTGCGCTGCTGTGGCGATGGCGATCCCGCCAGCACCACCTCCACTGTGGATTGGAGGCGCCTGTAAGAAACCATTGCGTCGAAAGTAATCCCTAGAACATAGTGAGGGAAAGAGAGCTTCGAAAACCAGGAGCTTTGGCTACTATATCAATTGGACGGTTCAGATCTTTCCACGGGGGTATTATCGACGGCCAAGAGCTCTTAAGCCACGCAACCTTAAAACTCCACTGGAAAATTCCAGATTGTAGGGTTTCTGGCTGGAAGCATGCTACGATCGCCGATCACGGTCGTTCTAGTTTCCGTGCTGCTGATCTTCTCGATTCCTGCGGAGAGCAAGGATCTCTACAAGGTACTCGCACAGTCCTGAAGAATTTGCTGCTAGAAATTTCATTCTTCTCGTCAGATTCTCGGCGTGGACAAGAATGCTGATCAGCGCGCAATCAAGAAGGCTTACCACAAGCTCTCGCTCCAATATCACCCGGACAAGAACAAGGCGAAGAACGCGCAAGACAAATTCTCCGAGATAAGCAATGGTAAGCGTCATCCTGTGTTTTTTCTTTCAAGGGAGTGCGTTCTAACGAGGGTGTAGCTTACGAGATTCTTAGTGACGAGAAGAAGCGCAAGGAGTATGATCTCTATGGAGAGTCACCGCCGGGAGGAGGTTTTGGCGGCGGCGGCGGCGGCGGCGGTGGCTTCGGCGGTGGCGGTGGTGATCCTTTCCAGAGAGATTTTCAACAACAACAGCACCAGTATGGCAATGCTCAGCATGAATACCAGCAGCGCTATACGTTCCACTCCGATGGACCGAATGGATTCAGTTTTGACGGCTTTAACTTTGGTGGCTTTGGGAGCTACATGGACGACATGTTTGGGGGATTTTTTAAGAACTCGAATCCGGGCCCCGAGTTTGGATCGCAGCTACAGCAGTTAAGTTCGGCAGAGTTCACGAGACAAGTCCTCAATGACTCGGAAACCTGGCTGCTGCTCTTCGTTTCATCAACAGCGCTCGACCAAAGAACTCGTATCCTTGAAGAGTTTGCCAAGCACATGAACGGGGTTATCAAGGTACGTGTAGTTTCTTTCTCTTACGTTTCGTTTTTGTTTTCTCCCTTTGACGAATGTTTTGATGCAGGTAGGAATCATAAACTGCCAGAGTAACCAGCTCCTTTGCAAGCAACAGCGCGTTTCGGTACTCAAAGAGCCTAAACTTTACATTTGTCCGTGGGTGCCATCCAGGAAAAGATCCTTGGTTGAGTACACGGGTGATTGGAAAGTGAAGGCACTTGAGGCCTATAGTGTGGAGTTCCTTCCCAGACTTTCGACAAGGATAATTGGGGATGAGGAGGACATTTTCGAGAAAGACGACAACCTTCCCAGAGCCGTGCTTTTGACGAAGAAAAAAGAGACCCCGGCAATGTGGAGAGCCTTGAGCGGAATCTTCCATCAGCGCGTAGTATTTTTCGAGAAAAAGGCAAGAGATAGTTGCGTTTCGTGGTTCTAAAAACAGTTTTTACGTCCTCCCACAGGTACAGGATATATCCGACACGCTGGCAAGAAAGTTCAAAGTGACAAAACTTCCGGCGGTGGTCGGTGTTCTGGCAAATTCGGACGCAACCATTCTATCCCAAGGCCCGAACATCAAACTAGATGACTTGAAAGGGCTCCTCAAAGATCTAGAGACCAAAAACAGACACGTTCGCAGGGAGAAACGCGAGACCAAGTCCAGTGACGGCCATTCGAAGCTGACCAAGGAAAACTTCTCCAGATTATGCTCCGAAAGCGCACTTTGTGTCATCGCGGTCACGAGATCCAAATCCGCAGAGGAGAAGGCGAAAAAGATTCTGCTTGAGGTTTGTGTTGTCCGCGATTGAGAGCTTTCACAGGACTAAAGTTCCTTTGTTTCGCAGGTTTCTCGGAAGAACATCCAGCCCGCTACTAGATCTTCCTCGGTCGCTGTCTCGTACGTGTACGTGGACGGTGCTTCTCAGGCCAAATTCGTGAAGGCATTTGGAGACAAGAGGCTAGAGAAGCAAGATCCGGCATTGGTGGCTTTCAAGTTTCGAAAGAAGAGGTTTGCTACTCACACAGGCCCATTCACGTCAGCTGCAATCGAGAACTTTGTGAGCGAGGCTCTCAACGGCGAAGTGCAGTTCCAAAATGTGAAGAAAGAGCCATTGATCTCCTGAGAAACTCGTCTTCTCGCGAAGAATTGCACGCTAGCTTGTAATCTCCTTTTTTCCTCTTCCAGGATCGATCAAGCACGCCGGTCAAGTAGAACGCATCAATCAACAGTCGATTACATAACGTGTACAAAGAAAAATATCCAAAAGTAGTGTACGGTAGAAGAATATGCATTGAGAGGATTAACTCCAGTTCCCAGATTTTAAGCAAAAGTTTTTTTTCAAAGTTGACATAAATTCAAAGACGACGTGTTTTTCTCGTCTCTGATCATTCTCAAACTTCGAGCTCTTCTCGCAAGTTATTCTACTCGGATTAAACCTCCTTTTGTTTGGGACATCCAAGAAAAATCTTTAACTTCTTTCATTTCGGATCGATCAAAGCACACACCGGTCAGGTAGAACACATCGATCGATCAACAAGCACCACAATTGACGACCGAGAACTTGCAAACGTGGCGCACATCGGCTGTGTCCGCGTGTCGAGGTATCTGAACGGTTGGGATTCCATAAAACGCCGACGGCTGGAGATCTGCGGATGCGCGTAACCCACCGTTGGATACGACATCGACGTCTCGAGATCCAACGGCGCGAGATGGCCGCGCCAAGATAACGGGCCCGATGAAGCCAGCTTGGTAGGGATCAACGACATCGAGGTGGCCTGGGCGATCGACGGCGGCGGTGATTTGTAGCGCGGAAACTCGACGGTCTGGATTGCCTCAAGCGCCCAGCCGTAGGGCCTTTGTTTGCCGCCTTGAATGCTGTGTTGCATTGCCCTCTTTTCTCATTTCTTCTTCTTTCTCCATCGTCTCGGCGCCAAAGATCTCGTTCGATTCATTGGCACTGGCCCGTTGCCCGATCGGCGCGTGTGGAATTCGGATCCTCTTTGTGGCGATCCAGGGCTAGATCAGGCGGCGGGGTCGTTTCTTCTGCGGGATCGCCGGCTGGGGCGCCCAGAATTTGGCGCCGATTAGGCCTCGCACGGCTTGCCCTGGGCGTGGAGCGGCAGGAATTGGAGCATTTCTTGTGCGATCTGTGGCGGATCAGGGATTGGGCGCCGGGAGGGTTTACATTGAGCTGCAGGTCAGTCTCGGATCAGATCTATGTGATGCCTGCTTGCCGATCTGCCGTGTGATCTGTGCCGGATGATTGCGATTGCGGGATTATGCATTCCTGGGTGATCAGATCGCCGATCTTGCGCGGTCTTGGCACTGCTTGGCCTTGTAGGTCATCGTTTTGTGTGCGAACCTGCATTCTTTCTGCCTCCTTGGATCGTCGATCTCAAAGATCGGGAGATCTTGGGTGCCTGGGCTGCCTGGGATTGTCTGTTTGGGTTTAGTTTGTGGATCTTGGGTCTTTCTAGGCAAAGATCGCCGATCTTTCTCTTACGCTAAAGAAGATGCTTTGATGGTGTTTCCAGGATGCGCAAAAGCCCTTCTGGGTCCTCGTGGCTGGCCGACTGGAGCAGAGATCGATCCAAATGCGACGCTCTTGTCACGATTACAGGCTAGTGAGTTCTACAGTTTAGCGGCATCAACCGGGTTCTTTCCCTGGGGATCTTAAGCCTTGCATTAAGGTGGAAATGATGCGGTTTTCATTGCAATGACGATCTGCAGGCCTGGTGCCAAGAGATCAGCTTAAGATCTGGGGATCTTAGTAGGGATCTGTGAAAGTGAAGTAGCTCGTATCTCAACCATGGAGAAGGTTAGCGTCACGTCTAGTACTACCGCGGGGGATTTCCCAGGAACTATGAAAAAGGTTGGTTTTTCCTCTCATTCTAGGCTGAGCCTCTACGTTTGCTTTCCTTTTTCTTACTGTATTTTTGTATGGCTAAACTTCAGGTTAAGCACCTCATTGAGTCCGAGTATTCATCAATGGATGAAGATAATGACTCGAAAGTCGAGATTGCGAAGCTCGGCGAGAGATCCGATGAGGAGTGGATCAAGCCCAAGCTCGAAAGAAAATCAGAGCTTTTAGACGGCAAAAGCCTGTGTGGACGGCTGGCGGTGATCACTTCACATTCTCCACCTCGCAATCACGCATCGGATGGCGCAGCTTCCTCGTCTGAGATGTCCCCTGGTGCAACCAGTCCGTCCAGGAGTTGTACGCAGTGTGGAGCGACCAAGACTCCACTCTGGAGAAATGGGCCTTGTGGTCCCAAGGTACTTAAATACTTTCCTTTTATCCTTTACGTTCTTCCATTCGGTGTAGAGATCTCTAACCTTGGGCTCTCTCCTCTTTGGGTGCAGTCTCTTTGCAATGCATGCGGCATTCGTTACAAGAAGGTTGGCAGCACTAAACGCACCTCGAACAGCAGCGATCCACACGAGCAGCCACAGAAGCTGTCGACAAAGTCTCCGAAGCGTAAGGCCGAGGCAGTGGAGGAGACCGAGCGCTCACACGGCCACAGGAGGAGCCGGCTCGTCGTCCGCGGGGAGAAGCGCGAGGCCGTGGAGGAGAAGGCCTCGTGTAGCAGCAGCCAGGTGGTGTTTAAGCAGCAGTGCTCGTCCCGGCAGGCTCCGGTGCCACGGCGAGTGTGCACAAGGCGGTCGCTCCCCTCGGGCTTCCACACTCCAAAGTGGGGCAGCAGGTCCGCTAGATTCAACACGTTTAGGAAATCTCATCAAACCAAGGACGAGGAAGAAGGCGCGGCACTTCTCATGGCTCTGGCTTGCGGCCTCGTCAACGCGTAGCTCCTGAGAGGTACCTCCTTTTTTCTCTTCCACAACATCAATCCTTTCAAAGCTGTGCTGATCCATCAAGTCGCGTTCTACAGGAACACCTCTCAGCTCTTTCCCTGTGAAGCTGGAAGAACGAATCGAGATCTCAAGCGAGCTAGAATGAGTGGCAGGAGGATTAAAAATAACAAGAGCCAGCAATGATCTTTGCTTCCTTCACAACTTTTCGGGAACACAACACTATCTATTATCTTGCAACATAAACTTATATATCATCTTCCATCCAAAAACAGTGAGCCATTTGTATATAGGTGGGTGCTTTGGTAGTCCTGCTCTTTTAACCACTGTCCTTCTATAGAAGAACTCCTTGTGCAGGCTTTTTGAGAGACTCTAGCTCTTTGTTCTCTTGTTTTTTTTTCCCTTCTAAACTACCTAGTATGAGAAATAACAGAGAGTGAGAAAGAGATGAAAAAAAAAGGTTTTTCTTTTCTTTTTTTTCTTACTGTATGAAGTTTCCAATAGAGAAACGTGATCAATTCAATATGTTGCTAAACGACAAACGGGATCCGATGCCTCCAATCGAGTAAAGATGCTTTCCTTGGCCTTTTTCCGCGGCTTTGTCGCTTTTATTGCGATCTGTACGAAATACCAATAAATGGTTTCGTGCCAGGTTTCGTCTCACCATTTGATCGCTTTGTTTGGGAAATACTGCCAAGAAGAGATCAAGATCCCATTTTGAGTGTTCTTGATAGAACAAAGAGAGAACTTAGAACTCACCTTGTCAATGAGTGAGAGGTAATATGGTTTTGCGGCTTCCACATCGACTCTGACTTTGCTCTTGCTGTAAAGGTCATACTTGCTGCAAACGACAGAACAGGGATTTGTCAGTAGGGTTTTCGCAGCTTAAGCCGCTAACCAGAGACTAGCAATCTAAGCTCTCTCTTTGCTTACTTGAACTCTTCGAGCCACGGGTACATCTCGCGATCGAAGTCGTCCATAAACTGCTTGTAATCTCCAGCTCGATGCAAAGCTGCACGGAAACATAAATTGTAAGGCGACAACAAAACAAAGCACAAGTGAAACAACTATGCGAATGCTCCACATCAACAAACTTCTGGAAAGATTCTCGTGCGCAGGCAATACAATATTACCGTAGAAGGAGTGGTACCGAATGATAAAAAGAGCTTGTGGAGGCAAATTACAATCGTTTCGCTTGAGCACCTACAAAGTTAAAGCTCGTTTAAGTGTTGTATAACTAAACAGTAAGAACAAGGACGAGCATCACGAGAAAAGCAAAGTTTACCACACCTGATACAGATACTCGTCGTGGCCCCATGACATGACTATCTTGTCAAGTCCACAGCCTAGCTCGTACACGCCATTGCCGGTGTTAAACCTGGGGTCACGAGAATCTGGGTTTCTGTCAAAAAACTGTTCAAAAAGGTGAGAACTTTCTCCGAGATTTGTTTTTCTTCTTTCTTCCTTTCCTTGCTTGCTCAATCGAGATCTAAAATAAAAGAGCTACTCACCTCCGAGTGCACGATCGATTTGCTAAACGGGCATCCTAGCGGGAATGTATCACCTGAGAGATAAAAGAAATTGTGAGTACGCTCGCTAGTTTACAAGCACGAACCCACGACAGCCCACTGCGGTTCTTCGCCAAACTTGGGGTGCAGCAACACCTTGCCAAGGTCTGCCAGGATAAAAAAATTTAGAAACAACACGACGAAGAAGAATAGTCAAGAAAAGCTGCGTGTCAAGAGATCATATCTATCTATTTTTTACCGTGAATGAGGCCAGTTAAATGGAACCAGTCCTCGTTTGGATGATCCTTGCGAATAGCTTCCGCTGTTTGCAAGAGATGCTCGATTTGGGGCTCGTCCAGATCCGGATCGCTCTCGTCGACGTACTCGTTGAGAAGCTCGCAGCATTCCCAGATGCCCATCACGGCCTTGTCAAGAACAAGGTGTTTCTTCCTCATCTCCATTGCCTGCAGGAATGGAAGAGAACAAGATATATACAATGCTCGTCAGTGACAAGCAGGATTTGCTACGATGACCCTTACGAAGTCATATGTTTGATTCGTGTGGTTGATCTTATAGAAACTCTCCACTCCAGAACTCCGCTCGCTTTCTTTGTTATACTCCCTTCCAAGATCACAAACACACATCAGTGGAGCGAGAGAGATCGAGCTAAAACAAAACTAAAAGGAAAGTTATTATTACCGGAACTCGTGCCCAAACGCGTTCGCTCCAGGCTTCTCAAATGCTTGCATGGATCCGATCATACCCTTGGCGATCTCCGCGTCGTCGGGAGCTGGATCGTCCCAGCTCCTGCGCGACGGATCGATCAATGCCGGTATCGCGTCCACTCCCATCCTCGCGCCGTCGCTCCTCCCGCCTAGATCGATCGATCAAACCACAAGAAATAGGAAAACCTAAAGACCGCGTTAGAGTTCTTCCCCGGACAAAAATATTCGCCTTGGATGTGCCAACTTTGACTGGTCAGCCGGCGTGGCATGCTGACTCAGAGGATAGACATGACGCGTTTAAAAATAGGCATATACTTTACCAAAGGATACTTTACTTTCGTGAGATGCAGATATTTTGTTATTTAGCAAGAGGATCTTCTTGGTTTGATACCATCGCCCTTGGCGCACAATGCTCGAATCCGGGACGGCCAATCACAGCTCGCCTACCTTATCACCACACGATCATGGCTTGTGGCTCACGAGCTCCCGTGACACGTGGAAGTCGTATGACCATGTCTGGGGGTTGGAGCTAGGTTTTAACGGGCCGGTTGAGCGGGAGCGTCAAGCGATCGAGGTTTTGGGAGCTCCGGGGGCCATGAATCTTCCTGCATTGTGATATTTCGATCGGGGATCTCGATCGCGGGCTAGGGAATCGATCGAGATCGTCATTCATGGCGTCTTCGCTTTGCGCGGCAGCGTCTTCGCTAGGAATTTTGTCAGTGCATTCTCACTCTCGAGGCAGAGGTAATCTCTCTTAGCAGTCATTTTGTTCCATGGAAGCTGAGAATGCTGGATTGATTGGTGCAGTAGGAGCTGGATACGAAGGACTTAGATATTACAATGACCTCGATGATCATCTCAGAGCTGTGAGTTTCTTGCTATGAGCTAGAAGTATGATTGTTTTCCTTGAAAACTTTCACAGGACCTTTCAAGTCTATCGGCCGCGACAAGGATTCTTCCATCGACGCGTCAAAGCACGGTAAAGCGTCTTTGTCTTCTCTTTTCTTTCATAGCTTGACTAGATGTTCTTTGAAAAATGTGTGTAGAAAATCTCAGCAATGATGGGAAATGGTCTCTTCACTCAAACCAGGCCCGATGTGCGAAGGATCGTCCCGGAAGCCAGGCCGAGCACAACGGTTGTCAAGGTGGTCTACGTTGTTCTTGAGGCACAATACCAGTCCTCACTCTCCGCGGCGGTGAGGAAGCTCAACAAAGCTAGAAACGACGTCCAGTTTGAGGTGGTAGGCTACTTGGTCGAGGAGCTCAGGGACAAGGACAACTACGAGATGTTTTGCAAGGATCTCTCCAACGCCAACATTTTCATAGGATCGCTCATATTTGTCGAGGAGCTCGCGCAGAAGGTGAAAGAGGCGCTGGAGAAGGAAAGAGAAAGGATGGACGCTGTTCTTGTCTTCCCGTCAATGCCGGAGGTGATGAGACTAAACAAGCTGGGATCCTTCGCCATGTCGCAGCTGGGACAGAGCAAAAGTGCCATCGCTCAGCTGATACGGAGGAAGAAGAAAGAAAACGGCGGAAGATTTGAAGAGTCGATGCTCAAGTTGGTCAGGACAATTCCGAAAGTTCTCAAGTATCTGCCATCCGACAAGGCTCAGGATGCGAGGAAGTTCCTTATGAGCTTACAGTTCTGGTTAGGAGGCTCGTCAGAGAATTTAGAGAACTTGCTGCTCATGGTTTCGGGGTCATACGTTCCAAGTCTCAAGGGGAAGGATTTAGCATATGGAGAGCCTGTAGTCTTTCTGGACACTGGGATATGGCATCCGCTCGCTCCTACGATGTTTGACGACGTGAAAGAGTACTTGAACTGGTACGGGACGAGAAGAGACATGAGCGACAGCCTGAAAGATCCGAATGCTCCCATAGTCGGCCTTATTCTCCAGAGAAGTCACATTGTAACGGGGGATGATGGTCACTACGTAGCCGTTGTCATGGGACTGGAAGCTAAAGGTGCCAAAGTCGTGCCAATATTCGCAGGAGGACTCGACTTTTCCATGCCGGTGGAGAGGTTTTTATACGATCCCATCTCGAAGAAGCCACTTGTTCAGTCGGTGGTGTCGCTAACCGGATTTGCACTGGTCGGAGGGCCTGCCAGTCAAGACCACCCTCGAGCAGTGGAGGCTCTAACAAAGCTGGACGTCCCATATCTCGTGGCGCTTCCTCTTGTTTTCCAAACCACGGAAGAATGGCTTGGAAGCACGCTGGGTCTTCATCCAATTCAGGTGGCTCTTCAAGTTGCTTTGCCGGAACTAGACGGAGGATTGGAACCAATTGTCTTCTCTGGTCGCGACAGTCGGACAGGTACTGCTCAGCTTTGATTTATTTGGTTTTCTAACGAACGTTTTCCTTTGTTTCTTTCAGGAAAGTCGCATGCTTTACACCATCGTGTGGAGCAGCTTTGCACCCGGGCTGTTAAGTGGGCCAATCTAAAGCGAAAGAGTGTGGTAAGCTTTTGTTGATTTTGTATCTCCACGAAAACGTTTAAAACGTGGACGACATGCAGGCAGATAAGAAACTCGCGGTCACAGTCTTCAGCTTTCCACCAGATAAAGGAAATGTGGGAACCGCGGCTTATCTCAACGTGTTCTCTTCAATCTTCAGTGTTCTAACGGATCTCAAAAAGGACGGCTACAACGTAGATGGTCTGCCAGAAACAGCCGAGGGCCTGATCGAGGACATTCTTCACGACAAAGAAGCGAAGTTTAGCAGCCCCAACCTGAACGTCGCATACAAGATGAGCGTTCGAGAGTATGAGAAGCTGACTCCGTATGCCAAATCTTTGGAAGAAAGCTGGGGTAAGCCACCAGGGAATCTAAACTCAGATGGTGCCAACTTACTCGTCTACGGGAAGCAATATGGAAACGTTTTTATTGGAGTGCAGCCAACTTTTGGATATGAAGGCGATCCTATGAGACTTTTGTTTGCGAAGTCTGCCAGCCCTCACCACGGTTTTGCGGCTTACTACACGTTTCTCGAGAGGATATTTGAAGCGGACGCAGTTCTCCACTTTGGTACTCATGGCTCGCTCGAGTTCATGCCCGGAAAGCAAGTTGGAATGAGCGACGCCTGCTTCCCAGACAGCTTGATCGGAAACATTCCCAACGTTTACTACTACGCAGCAAACAATCCTTCCGAAGCCACTATTGCCAAGCGGAGGAGCTATGCAAACACCATCAGCTATTTAACGCCTCCAGCGGAGAATGCCGGTCTTTACAAGGGGCTGAAGCAGCTCAGCGAGCTCATTGCATCATATCAGTCTCTCAAAGACAGCGGCCGAGGAAACCAGATCGTTAGCAGCATCATAAGCACGGCAAAACAGTGCAACCTTGACAAAGATGTGGCATTGCCAGAGGAAGAAGCCGACTTAAACCCGGAGGAGAGGGACTTGGTGGTGGGAAAAATATACGGAAAGATCATGGAGATTGAGTCCCGGCTATTGCCTTGCGGCTTGCACGTCATTGGAGAGCCTCCGACTGCCTTAGAAGCTGTGGCAACGCTCGTCAATATTGCCGCTTTGGACAGGCCAGACGAGAACATCTATGGTCTTCCTGGGATTCTAGCTTCGGCCGTTGGTAAGGATATGGAGAGCGTTTACAGGAACGCAGACAAGGGAAATCTAGAAGACGTGGAGCTTCTCAAGGAGATAACTGATACGTGCCGGGAGATCATATCTTGCTACGTCAACAAGACAACTAACAAGAACGGCCAAGTCGTCAATGTCCTCGACAAGCTGGGAAACTTTGGCTTTCTCAACATGGGAAGAAAAGAGCCGTGGCTTGAGGTGGTATACCAAACGAAGTTCAGGGACGCCAACCAGGAAAAGCTGCGGGTTCTTTTCGATTTTCTCAACGAGTGTCTCAAGCTCATCGTGGCGGACAACGAACTTCAGGGACTTAAGCAAGCTCTAGAAGGGAGATATGTGGAACCCGGTCCAGGAGGAGATCCTATCAGGAATCCGAAAGTTCTTCCGACTGGAAAAAACATCCATGCATTGGATCCGCAAGCAATCCCGACGATAGCTGCTCTTCAGAGCGCCAAAGTCGTGGTGGAGCGCCTGCTGGAGCGTCAGAAGCTGGAAAACGAGGGAAAGTATCCCGAGACAATAGCTCTGGTGCTGTGGGGAACGGACAACATCAAGACTTATGGAGAGTCGCTTGCTCAAGTTCTATGGATGCTTGGAGTCAAGCCGGTGCCGGACGCCTTGGGACGTGTTAACAAGATCGAGCCTGTGTCGCTGGAGGAGCTAGGGAGGCCAAGGATCGACGTCGTGGTGAATTGCTCCGGGGTGTTTAGAGACTTGTTCATCAACCAGGTCAGTTTTCTTCCTTGTTGTATCATCAGTTTTCTTTGTTTGAGATTCGACACTGACCAAAGTTCGCTCGTGTAGATGAATTTGCTCGATCGAGCAGTGAAGATGGTCGCAGAGCTGGACGAGCCTGCCGAGCAAAACTTCGTCCGCAAGCATGTGCTGGAGCAGGCCAAGAGCCTCGGCGTGGAAGTTCGCGAAGCTGCAACACGCATCTTCTCCAACGCCTCGGGCTCTTACTCCTCCAACGTCAACCTGGCGGTGGAAAACTCGTCGTGGGACAACGAAAAGCAGCTGCAGGACATGTACCTGACGAGGAAATCCTTCGCCTTCGACTCCGACACCCCAGGCGCGGGGATGAGCGAGAAGCGCAAGATCTTCGAAGCGGCTCTGGCAACGGCAGACGCGACTTTCCAGAACCTCGACTCGTCGGAGATCTCCCTCACGGACGTCAGCCACTACTTCGACTCGGACCCCACGAAACTCGTCCAGAGCCTCCGAGGCGACAAGAAGAAGCCCAGCGCGTACATTGCCGACACAACCACGGCAAACGCTCAGGTAAGAGTGGAGTGTTTCTAGCTTCTTGTTCTTCCAAGATCTAACAAGCTTCTCATCGATCAAACAGGTAAGAACTCTCGGCGAAACCGTGAGGCTGGACGCGAGAACCAAGCTGCTGAATCCAAAGTGGTACGAAGGCATGCTGTCGAGCGGCTACGAGGGCGTGCGCGAGATCGAGAAGAGGCTGACGAACACCATGGGGTGGAGCGCCACCTCCGGCCAAGTCGATAACTGGGTCTACGAGGAGGCCAACACGACGTTCATCGAGGACGAGGCGATGCAAAAGCGGCTGCTCGAGACCAATCCAAACTCCTTCCGCAAGCTCGTCGCCACATTCTTGGAAGCCAACGGCCGCGGCTACTGGGAGACCTCGGACGAGAACTTGGAGAAGCTCCGCCAGTTATACGCCGAAGTGGAGGATCGCATCGAAGGGGTCGAGAGGAACTAAAAGGTGACACATTGTAAATTATTTTTACAGGAATAAATTACCACGGTTTTTGTTACCTGATGGATTATGTTTACAACAAAAGTTACCAAGTGATCAAAGTTTTTATTTTTACATCAGTAACTTGGTTGTCACAAGGTTAAAACTCGATAAAAAAGAAACTTTCGTGGACGGCAGGATTCGAACCTGCGCGAGTAAAACTCACATGCTTTCTAGGCATGCCCGATAACCACTCCGGCACGTCCACGTCACCTACACGCCATGGAAGTGTTCTTCCCGCCAAGACCGCGAGCGTTTTTCTAAAATCTAGGGCAAATATTTTATTCGATGGGGGAGGAGGAGGAAGAACAGGAGCATCGTGCTGAGCGATCATGGCGGCAGTGCCCGGAAAGATCCCGGCCAGTCAGCGTGCTGTTGCTTTCGGTAAGCTGGGCCTACTCTCACGGGCGTCTTGTTGTCGTTCTCGCGCGGCGCGATTTCGTCCTGGCTACCTCTCCCTCTCACCTCGACGAGGTCTCGCGGCCGCCACTTGCACTGCGTCAGTCGCCATGGATCCACTGCAAACCGATCGCCTGGTCGCGGAGCTGCGCGATGAGTTCCGGAGCGGGCGGACGCGCCCCATGGATTGGCGCGCGGCGCAGCTCCGCGCCATGCTACGGATGATCGATGAGCGGGAGGGGGAGATCATCGAGGCGCTGGATCGGGATATCGGGAAGCCAGCGTACGAGACATATGTTGCGGAGGTGGGAGATTTTTTTCTTCCTTTGTTTTTGTCGCTCTATAAGTTTTTGTTGTCTCAGCTCTCCACGATAGCCAATTCGTGTACGAATGCTCTGAAACATCTCAGGAGCTGGATGGCTCCAGAGAAGGTAGTTTTGATCGATCGATTTTGCAAAAGATCGTCTTTTGCTGCTGGCAGGTCTCTACATCGATGATCAGCTTTCCTTCATCCGGAGAAATCGTCCCAGAGCCCCTCGGCGTTGCGCTCGTTATCTCTGCCTGGAACTTCCCTTTTCGTGAGTCTCTGGAAATCTGTGGCTAGTTCTCATGACTAGTGTTTTCTTTTCTTTTCCTGTAGTGCTGTCTCTGGATCCCGTCATCGGTGCCATCTGTGCTGGGAACGCGGTGGTCTTGAAACCATCGGAGCTTGCACCGGCCACTGCTGCTTTGCTTGCAAAACTGGTTCCTTTGTACTTGGACAAGAAGGCCATTCGCGTTGTAGAAGGAGGTGTTCCGGAGACAACAGCTCTTCTGGATCAGCAGTGGGACAAGATTTTCTACACTGGTAAGTTGATAACTTCTTTTCAACCGGACGAAGGAGGAACTCACTCTATCATCGCAGGGAGCACGCGTGTGGGCAAGATAGTCATGGCTGCTGCTGCCAAGAATCTGACACCGGTGGTGTTGGAGCTGGGGGGAAAGTCCCCGGTTCTTGTTGATTCCAATGTAGATGTCAAGGTACAGTCCATTGCGTAACTTGTGAGTCCATTCCTAACTTGACTTACATTAGGTGACTGCGAGGAGAATTGCTCTTGGGAAATGGGGTAACAACAACGCACAAGCTTGCATCTCTCCCGATTATATCCTTGCTGACGAATCGGTGGTACCAAAATTGGTACGCTTTTTAATTCTCTCGCCTCTTTCTTCTGTCGCTTCAACATTAAGTTGTCGCAGATAACTGCCATCAAGGAGTGTTTGCTTGAATTCTATGGGGATGATCCAAGCAGGTCCAAGGACATCGCTCGCGTCGTCAATGGCTCTCACTTTGAACGCCTCACGGGCCTCTTGGACGAGGACGGGGTGAAAGACAAGATAGTGTTTGGAGGAGCACGGGACTCAAACAAGCTGTACGTTCATTTTTTGTTTTCTTGTTCGTGTCTTACTATTTCCCTGAAGCGCCCAGGTTCATCGCTCCCACTGTTATCCTCGATCCTCCCGCGGACAGTGCCGTCATGACGGAGGAGATTTTTGGACCACTGCTGCCCGTCATCCCGGTGAGTTTTTTTTTCCTCCAGTGCGGCACACATACTCAATTTTTCAACAATAACAGGTTGACTCCATGGAATCCGCCATGAGCTTTGTAAACACGAGGCCCAAACCTCTGGCCCTCTATCTCTTCACTCGCGACAAAGCTCTGGAGAAGAAGGTGGTCAGCGAAACATCAGCGGGAGGCATGGTTGTCAATGACACTGTTTTACATGTACGTGTGGAAGTTTTGTTGGTGGATTGTTGATGTTTTTGGTTCTTCGCAGTTTGTCACCGAGACAATGCCTTTCGGTGGCGTCGGGCACAGTGGAATGGGGGCGTACCATGGCAAGTTCTCTTTCGATGCTTTCAGCCACAGAAAGGCCGTTTTGTACCGAGGCTTCTGGGCGGACATGGCGTCGCGATATCCTCCTTACACCATTGCCAAGCAAAATTTTGTAAGGAATTTTCTTCAAGGGAACTATCTGGAAGCGATCAAGGCCTTACTCCAAAATCTAAGATCATGATAGATCCTCTATACTGCGGAACTCAACTTTATAATTTTAAATGTTGAAAGTTTTGATAGGATATCATATGCTTTCTATCATTCTTTTACGAATAATTTCGATCGCGTCTTTTGGAGGTGTGGTCTTGAAAAGATTTCCGCTTTCCTCCACAATCCCAAGTCTCAGGAGCTTACCAACAGCATCCTTGACTTGGAATTCACTCGTCCCACTCTGGAAGGAGTCCATGAGAATATTATTGCATTGAACTTGCAGCTCCTGCAATGAAACTTAGCGATTCCCAGAACGCAAATGTAAATTAGACAAACCTTTTCGTCAAGACTCTTTTCGTCAGGCTGCCTAAGTAAAACATAGTACGCTATAATAGCCTCTTTCACCTGTTTTATGCAGACAGACACCATTTTAAAGAGCTCCATGAGTTAATATCCTTCTCACCTCTTGCTGGATGGCCTCATCCATAACATACAAGAGAGTTCCATGTCCACAATCAAGCTGTTTATCCTCCATGAGCTTGTTGATGAGCCTCTCGTACTCGAGAACATTCATAGTGAACCTGAATTCATAGTGGAAAATCGATGGGAAAAGCCTTAGTTGCTTCACTTACGTAAGATAAACTTTTGTGGCATAACTGAAAAACACTACAAGCATTCCGATCACCAGGCCCATGGGATTGTGCTGCCGCAAGGCTGATAGAATCCCCACCTAAAGACCTTGAGCGATAAGCTTAATTCTGAAAACATTGGACTTACTAGAGAAATGAAGAAGAACACCAAAAGTGTGATCCAGTCCGTAAATGGGAGCTTTGGATGCTTTTTAGCGGGCTGTAATAAAAACAAAATCGTGAGATAAGTGAGAGATATAGCATCGGATATGATACCAGGATAAGCTCCATGTCTGCCATTGGAATTCCCTTGTAGTGCCTTATGTGAATGCCGCGCTCTCCATGGCAGGAAGTATGGGTCAAACTTGTGGCTTTCCTGTACGCAATCTCAATTCAGCGAAAACTCTCAAAACAACTCATGAAAACAACCTGTAGACTATGATCATGTGATCAAAAGTTGGCTCTTGCAGATCGAGCTTCTGAAAAAACTTCTTAAATCGGAACGAGTTTGACACGTGAATTCGCTTCACACATACGAAGTTCTCAGACGTCCTGCCATAGAGTGAACTAAGATTATTGTAAGTGCTTCGGAGTAAATGAATAAAACTTACCTTGCAGGTTCCGACTCGCGACTCTTAGACTCTTCTGCAACAGACTTCCTGCGGCAAAAGCTCACCAACCTTGTAAGGATCAGAAGAAGTATGGGCTCACATACCCCAAGAGCCAGCGCCATGCTTTCACAGCATAGAGTTTGATGGTGTTCCAGCAAAATTTAAGGATGCAATCAATCTTTGCTTGATAGAACTGACCGCTCTTTCTATCTATCCCAATGCCTCGACGAAATATTACGTAGAGGGAGCCTAAGTCCCCGCCAGGATTGATATCGTGATATTTCGAGTCCTTGAAGAACTGATCGTCAAGCTGGACAACAGAAGGAAAGACGTCGTCATTCAGAATTAATTCTTCATCCTATACTACAACCTTTTTCCGATTGATTTTCGTGGTCAAATGGAAGAGATACTGACTGGAGGTGGCCACTTTCAGCTCTTGCGCGCTCAAAGGCTTGAAGTTACTTTTGTCCATGGCCTGAGAGCTTGTCTATATTATAATCACTGAACCGTAGCAGGAAAAGTGAGAGACACTTACGTCGGATAAAAGCTCGAGAAATCTATCCTGACTTTCCTTGACTTGGGCTTCAGAAAAGCTTTCCAGCTTCTTGACATTGCCAAGAGGATTGAAGAGCTCATAGACATCCTGCAATGTTCTTTCAATGAAAGAGAAGAAAACTTGAAACAGTAGACCAGACGCTGTAGCTTACAGTGAGATTCTCTCGTCTAGAGCGGTACTGCAAGGCGATTATTTGCTCCAGCTTGTCACAAAGCAGCAGAAAATCATCCCGATGCGCTGAAAAGGCAAGGGGTCTTATAAACCAAAATGCTACGCAATCTAGTACCCTGACCGATAATGGAAGAACAGAGCTTGGAGATGAGCTCCTTCTTGGGAATCTCGATCACAATCTCCCGCTTGAGGCGGATGCTGTGGTCCTCCACTCGCAATTCGATCTCCGACCTGCCCCTGTGACAAGAAGCACAATCAGGGGGCGGGCGAGAAAGATGAAAGAATCAAACATACGCAGTGTACTTACATTGCTTTGGCAAGAATAGAGGGATGGCGCCCCCGCCCAGCTGCATTTTGTTCGCGGCAGCGCCATCGCTTTGCTTGCTGCCTACTCGTGAATCTCCTCCTTGCGGATCAAGGAAGAAAATAAAAATATTAGGGCTCTACATTTGAATAATCGATCTTTGAAAAATTATAGAAGCATTTGTCGAGGGCGTGACGTGGATTAGGGCATGCGAGGTGGGCCCGTTAAGGGTAGCTGCTTCTCGAATATGCTTTACTTTAATACCCTTCCTATTATTAATACCCTTACCCTAGCCCTAGCCCTAACCCTTCTGACCCTTAAGCATGACGTGACGGTCATTGTCCGCTGCGCAAAATTCAGAGTTGGTTGAGTGCTCAAAGAGCTTCTTGTCTTTAAGCTCCACATAAGCCAAAATTTTCTCCTTGCAGTCAAGTAAAACAGGTTTCGCACGCGCAACGTAGTCTTCGAATAAATTACAGCCAGGGAACTCTGTTCCTCGTCTCCATTGGTCGCAGGAACTCAGTCCGAATGGGCAAGGCGATTTGCGTGACTGGAGCTGGTGGTTTCATTGCTTCGTGGATTGTTCGTGATCTTCTTAACAAGGGCTTTTCAGTTCATGGCACTGTCCGCGATCCAGGTTCTGGTTTGTTGTCTTTGTTCCAGATCTAGTGATGGTGGCTTTCAGATGACAACGCCAAGTGTGGACATCTAAAGCAACTGGATGGAAGCGAGAGACTAAAACTACATAAGGCTGATGTGCTTGACTATGACTCAATCGCTGACGCGATTCGGGACTGTGAAGTTGTGTTCCATACTGCTTGCCCTGTAACCGCATCGACTGAGAATCCAGAGGTAGTCTCCTATTTCATTTCTTTTCTCTGGATAAGGCTGACTGTATTTTTGAGTCCCAGGATGTTTTGGTGCCAGCAATCACCGGCACTCGCAACGTGTTGAAGGCCTGCGCACAGGAGAGGATCAAACGGGTCATTGTCACGTCGTCCGCGGCTGCGGTGATGTTCGATCCAAATCGGCCGGCGGAAAGAATTGTCGACGAGAGCTGCTGGTCTGATACCGACTACTGTAAAAAGCTCAAGGTAAACTTATCCTCACCCTCGACGAAGTTACTGTGTTGTACTCACTGAGACTCTTGTTTCAAGCAATGGTATCTTTTAGCCAAGACGGAGTCTGAGAAGCTAGCGTGGAGTCTCTCCAAGGAGTACGGCCTTGACCTCATCACGATCTGCCCCTCGTACGTGTTTGGCCCGATGCTCCAGCCAACGCTGAATTCCAGCAGTGCGGTCTTGAAGGCTCTCGTGGATGGTTTGTGCTTTAAAAATGCTTCAGAAGCCTGATCGATGTGTCTTGTTTCCCCAGGTCATGAAAGCAGCTACCGCGATTCCTCCATTCCGGTTGTGGACGTGAGGGACGTCTCGAAAGCTCACATTCTGGCCATGGACAAGGAGGAGGCCTCGGGCCGCTATCTCTGCGTGGAAAGGGTTGTGTCCAACAGCGAGATTATCAAGATTCTCAGGGCCAAGTTCCCGCAGCTTTCATATCCAAAAGAGTAAGCGTCTCTAGTTCCTTTCTTCCGATATCTATAAAGCTAGAAACTCTAGGTGCGTTGCTGAGACGAGCGTTTGGAACCAATCGGGAATCCGTCCCGACAATCTGGGAAGAGAGAAGCTCTTGGGGCTAATCACTGAGTTTGACATACCATTGGAACGGATGCTGTTTGACACTGTTTCCGACATGCTAAACAAGGGACTGTTAAGAGCCATCTGATTTACCGGAGAGATTAGAAACATCGGGTCTACCATAAGGACTTCAATTTGTGTCCTGGAAAATGAAACAAGTTCCTGTTTGTGTTTATTCTCTCTCTACAGATTACTGGCTCCAAGTCTTTAGGTGTGAAAGAACTTGCTTGAAGAGACTGAGATCTACACTCCCAAATAAAGAACCCACCAAAACCAAGAACAAAAACTCCAAGAGCACAAGAATATCATGCTTCATCAAAGTCGCATAGTCTCAAAGCCTTCAACCGAAGCTTAAATCGTCCGGGTGCCGCACAAGCTAGCTCGATGTTGCTGTGTTTCTCCAGTCCATAATTCACGATATCACTCGAGACACGTTTGGTTGCCTGGTCAGAAAGTTCTCGAGGAAGACTGAGGCTAAAACCACCAAAAATCTCGAAGACTGTCACCTGTGGTTTTGATCTTGATGCAAACTCTTCTCTCCACGCCACCAATCTTCCGCTGCTCACAACCCTCCTCACTTGCTCCTCATCGAAGCCAAAGTGGCGGTACCACGAAAGCACCAGCGCTTGGGACGCAGGATTGAGCACTGCCAGCGGCGGCGACCACGGCGAAAATCCTTGCTTCTCCGTGTCTAGCAGCTCGATCTCTGGATTGAAGCGTCTCATCGCCGCCAGACCCAAGCTATAGATCCTCTCGCTGTTGGCCGGTACGTGCTCGGCTCCAAATCCCACTGCAAGACCGTGAGAGCCTCCACCAGGCTCACATCTCGCTCCTTGGAGGCCTCGATGCACCACAAGATCATCCCCAGCACACGGACAAGGCTGTTGTCTCTTCGCACCTGGAAGATCCCACACGGATACGCAGCTCCAGCTCCTGTGAACTGGAACTCTCCACTGTAAACTGGCAAGAAGTTCCTCTCCTCTCCTGGAGCGCACACCGAGCAAGCCATGTCGTCCACCATGATGGTTTGCTCCATGTCCACCTCGATCGCCGTGGGAGATCCCACTGTGAATCCGTCCACCCGGTAGAGATGGTTCTGCGAGAAGACACTGCAATCCTTGAGGCCTCCTGCTGTGCATGC